GCAGCTCGAGGTTTTCTTCAGGCCTTGCGTTGGAACCGGGACACTCCTCCTTCTCTACTCCTAAGCAAACTGCCAAAGATCTGGAAGACAGACAGGACCAACCGCATCTAACTATGTTGAATGATATATCTTCCAAAATAACAGCTATGCAGACTCAACTGTCGGCCATTACGTCAATCCAGCAGGACCTGCGGTAGTTAAAATCTGATGTCTCAGATCTCAAGAACTCCTTCAATGAACGACTGAATCATCTTTCGACTCGCGTAGATGACATCGAGACAAGAGTTTCGATCGTAGAGAGCCTCAGTAGTGATATTGATGAGCTAAAGGGACAGGTCAAGGCGATTCTGGAGGAAGGTTATAAGAATGAGCAGTGGGTGCGTCGATCAAACATACAGATTAATGGTGTGCCGCAAAAATCTGGAGAAAACTTGGTGCATATAATAAAGACACTAGCGGACCGCAGTGGCTTTCCGTTGAATGTGGAGAATGATTTGGATTTTGTCACGAGAGTTGCTGTCAGGAATGACACAGAAAACAAAAAATCTAAACCTATAATTTTAAAGATGCAGTCAAGGTATAAAAAAGACGATTTTTTGGCATCTCTCCGCAAATTAAGGGATATCAAGGCTAATGACTTGGGTTTTACGGGTATCAACAGTAGAATTTATTTTAATGATCATCTATCTACGAGGAACAAAAGTCTTTTTCAACAAGCCAAACTCAAGGCAAAGGAGAAAAATTATGCCTACTGCTGGGTTCGTCATTGCACTGTGATGGTTCGAAAATTTGACAATTCTCCGGTGATACACATTATGTCACCTGAATCGTTAAAAAAAATTATATAAGTAACTAGCTTTCCGCCCGCGGCTTCGCCCGCGTGGATTTTTATCTGTCACAGAAAAACTTTATCGCGCGCGTCCCTGTTACAAAAACCGGGATAAAAACTATCCTATGTTCTTTCCCGGGACTCAAACTATCTCTATGCCAAATTTCATCATAATCGGTTGCGAGGTTTAAGCGGGAAAGCGTAACAGACAGACAGACAGACAGACAGACAGACAGAGTTACTTTCGCATTTATAATATTAGTTGGGATAGTTGGGATAATTTACTCTGCTATAGTTTACTCAGTTATTTATTTTTTATAATAATTGTACTCGTGCTTTTGGGTGTGATATGTCAATGTCGTAATTTATTTCACTTTGGTTTATTTGCGGCCCGTGGGTTTAGAACACCTGACTTACTAATGACCTTGATTTCGTTCGTGCTCGGCTCGGAACCGAATGCACGTTACCTTAAAATACTTGATAGTTGGCGTAATTGCGAGTCACAGTGTTACATTGCGCGCTATGGATCGCGAGTCTCTAACGCCGCGTCTGGGCGGGCGGAAATGTATTGCGTGTTGTGCGATTCAGTGACAAACACAACAACCGATGTTAAAAGATGTTTGAATTTAAAGTCGCTCATATTTACTGACGTGATCGTGTGTAGTGTGAATGGGGCGGTATTTGTGAAATACTGGTTGTTAAGACTACGCTCGCCGGACGGTCGGCGAGTTTCTTACTTGCGTTTTATTGGTTCTATTTCTTGTGCTCTGCGAGTGATTATTGTAATTATTCAAATTGTGCGGCGTTTGGGATGTTCTGTTACAGATTACTATGACGTAATGACTCCTTTTATTGGCGATGTTACTGTTTTTTATAACGTTCTAATTATTATTTTAATTTTTATTACAATATTATCAGATAAATGGTTTTATAAATTGAGTGATATACATAATTATGAATTAATTTTATTGCATTTGCAGAGCTAATTAAAATATTAAATTGTTTTTATCAAAATGTACGCGGATTAAGGACTAAAACGAAGTTATTTTATAGGAATCTTGTTCTTAGTAACTATGACGTCATCTGCCTAACCGAGACATGGTTAATGCCGGGAATTTTTGACGCTGAGCTGTTTGATTCGCGATACAATGTTTATCGTACGGACCGGGACTACGTTAGGCGGGGAATGACAAAGGGCGGCGGAACGTTAATTGCGGTTAGACGTGATGTTATGACGGACTCGCATTGTTCAGGTGCATTACCTGATTTCCCTGATGCTGACATCACACACTTAGATATTTTGTTGTCCCGCGGCCCCGATCCCAAGCGTCTACATTTATATTGTTGCTACTTTCCGGAGACTAAAGACCAAATAACTTCACAACAAACGTTTCTTGAGTCAGTGTCAGAATTAAGTATAGATCGACCTGGTGATGAGTACCTGATTGTTGGCGATTTCAATATAAGAAACGCAACTTGGCTAAGCGACTGTAATATAATTAATAGTATAACTTTGTCAGATCCCTCTAGAGACGTGTTGACTTCCCAGTTATTTGCTTTCCTATCTTTTACCGGCTTTGGTCAGTACAACGGGATACGAAACCAAAATGATAGACTTCTCGATCTGATCCTCTCCAGTTTTATCAGTTGTGTGACTCGGGCTGAGCCTTTGTCGGAGCCTGAGGATAGTCATCACCCGTCTTTGTCCATAGCTGCGAAGGTGTTATCGGACGATACTAGCCTCCAGCAGGCTCCACGCACAGCGCGCCGTTTCCACGCTGCTGACTATGAGCTTATCAGGGCCGAGCTGGATGACATTGACTGGGTCCAGCATCTATCTAGTTCGGATGTCGAGAGCGCATTGAATAGTTTTTACTCAGTAGTAAATGACATTATCAATAAATATGTACCTTTGAAGATCATGAATAACAATAAGGAATATCCTGTCTGGTTCTCATTTAAATTAATCAAACTCATAAAGAAAAAGAACAAAGTTCATAAAAAATGGAAAACATATGGTAGACTTCTAGATTATGAAACTTTTTCAGATTTAAGACGCTCAGTAAAAAAAACTAGAAATCTCATGTTATAAAATCTTTTTAACGAGGTCCGAGTCAAACATAAATCGGTGCTCAAAACACTTTTGGTCTTTTATAAAATCTAAAAAAAGTCTTTCCGGTATACCTGACACTATTAAGCTTGATAACGAAGTTGGTAACGACGGTCAAACCATCTCGAATATGTTTAACGCTTTCTTCCAATCAGTTTTTGAAGATGATAATGATACTATAATATCATCCCCGAGTCCGTCAATAAAGTCTAATTCTTTGTCCGCTGCCCTCATTGGTAGTGTACGCATCACGCCGGATATCGTTGAGAAGTATCTCTCAAGGATTAACACGACGAAAGGCAGTGGTCCTGATGGTATACATCCTATATTTTTGAAGGCATGTAGTAAACAGTTGGCACTCCCAGTTGCATCTATCTTTATCTTGTCTATGTCCTGTGGCATCATGCCTCTTACCTGGAAGCAATCGTTTGTTGTTCCGATACACAAGAGTGGGGATAGACATAATGCTCGTAACTATCGTGGAATCTCTAAGTTATCTGTTTTGCCAAAAATCTTTGAGAAGATTGTATACGACTCGTTGTATCCTGCAGTGAGCCCTTTGTTGACAGTCCATCAACATGGTTTCGTCGCTAAGCGGTCCACAGAAACTAATCTCTGTGAGTTTCTTGATACAGTATTGGAGGCTATGGATGGGGGCTTCCAGGTGGACGCTGTGTACACTGATTACTCAAAAGCATTCGATAAAATATCGCATTCTATCCTTATATCCAAACTTGAGGCAATCGGTGTGCATGGTGATCTGCTCAGATGGCTTACATCGTACCTTAGAAACCGAACACAGGCTGTGACGATTAAGGGTTTCACTTCCAGCTTTATTCCCATCTCTTCAGGAGTCCCACAGGGCTCGCATCTTGGCCCTTTGCTTTTTAATATATTCGTAAACGATGTTACAAATTGTTTTCAAAATTCTAAAATATTACTATATGCAGATGATACGAAAATATTCTCAGTCATAAAGTCAGAAAGTGACTGCCAAAAATTGCAAAGAGATTTAAACACTTTATGTGAATATTGTTCTCTCAATAAATTGTACCTAAATGTCGATAAGTGTAATGTCATAACCTTTAGTAGAAAGAAAAAAATAATTCAATACGATTATAAACTTGATGCGAAAAAATTAAAAAGTGTAAATGAGGTGCGAGATCTGGGGGTTGTCTTGGATAGCGGACTATATTTTGAGCAACATATCAATAAGATAATTGCTAAGGCATATAAATTGTTGGGTTTTATCTTTAGACAAAGTACTGATTTTAAAAATATTGGCACCTTAAAACTTCTCTATAATGCATACGTCCGGTCACAATTGGAATACGCCTCTACTGTGTGGAACCCTATGTACTCAAAGTACGTAAATATCTTGCAGAGTATCCAGGACAAGTTTGTAAGGCGTTTGAGGTATCGTTTTAAGGATTCCGAAGCCGTGGATAAAATTGAGCCCCTGGCCATTAGACGCGAATTTAGACATCAATTTCTTTTATATAAAATCATTAATAGTATTGTTGACTCGCCCTATTTATTGAGTAAGTTGTCTTTCAGGTGTTCTAGACCTAACGCAAGACACGGAAAAACTTTTATGACGCCACTATGTAGGACTAATTATAGAAATAACTGTTTTGTCATTAGAGCCTGCAAAAAGTATGACAGTGATTATGGTCACGTTGACATATTTCACGAGAGGCCTATGCGGTTCCGTGGCCTAATAAAGGCATAAAATGTGTATTAATACACCTTACAAATAAAATTTGCGCATGGTTTTAAATGTTTAAGTTAGATAATTAAGTATTGTGAATCTGTCTTTTCAATTTTAAATTACCAGTGAAAACTCATAGGCTTGTGTAAGACTTATTATTTTTATTCTACATGTATCATAATTTAAGCTGTATGTTTTCCTAATAAAGAAAATAAATAAAATAAAAAATATAGTAAAAATTTATTTCCGAGTGTTTTAGAGGCAAACAAACAAAACTAAGACCTATGCGTTACAAATTTAAAACTTTGAAAAATAAGGGACACCCTACTAAACATTTATTACAATTTCAGGCCGCCCTTTCAGTGTTTGGCTACATTCTCATCGAAGATCTAATACGAATGATGAGTCACTCATATTTCAGAGTCCCTACAGTAATGATTCTTCTTGTTTGCTTTGTGGTGATTGACATCATGTTTACCATAGGGTTCATTGTGGCTGGGCATATGGTAAGATTTTTAATACATTAAAAATACATTTTTAGAATAGCCTCTTTTAAAATTAAGTTACACCCGTATTCACAAACGATGCAAATCGAACGCACAGCGTTGAATAGAGCTCTGTGTTTGGTTCGTGTGTCACCCTGTGCGTCCACGCGCACTGTAAGACCTCATAATAATGTTTGTGAATAAGTACGGGCGTAAGTATATTATTTACCTACCTACTCCGGAACCATTTTTTTCATTGGAAAACGATCATTTAATACCCACTTTTGTAACTTTTGTTTTCAGAAACACCCGCAACTTTTCAGAATGTATTACTACTACAGCTTAGTGTCTCTAGGTATTTTTTTTATTGGCTACATGATCGTGTTAGGGGTGTATTTCTACACCTTTAGGAATTTGCCAGCGTACATATTCCTCTGGACGACTCTTGACTCTTTATACACGGCAGTTCCTTTAATCTGTAAGTATAAATACTTACCAATTATTTTATCCAGCGATTGAAAAATCAACCCTAAGGCTGAGTTGCACCAACTTACTTTAAATGGCAACTATGACAATGACCGGTGCAGTTAGTATGGAATTTGACAGATTTTTGACGTTCGTTAAAGTTAAAGTAAGATGGTGCAACTCTCAGCCTAGGTACTTAGTCTAAGTTGCACCATTAGGTTACTTAATCTAAAGCTTACTGTCCTTCAGACAGTTGATATTTTCTGGTACAGTATGACCGGTTGGAAAGATTAAACAAATGTCCAAACGAGTAACGGTGTGAGATGATGGGATTTTTTCCCAACGAGTAACAGTGTTACGTTTCGGTATGACTGGTTGGTAACAAGCATAGAGATATAGAGAGATGCCAACTAATGCGCTAAGTTCGAAACTCAGTGTCGCATTAGAAATTCACACACAAAAAGTACTTAATCAAAATATTTTATGTGCTCATTATCCACTGCGGTAATAGTACTCAACGTTCAAATAATCTTTAGTACTACGCAAGCAATGTAAACTGTTTATTATGAAGTCGCTGCTGTCTTCATTGCTGTCACGAGCAATGTGTTTTCTGTTTTTGGGCATATTACTGCTACATTGGCTCCGTTCCCTTGTCATGTCTCCCTTTAGTTTCTGTGATATGTGGTGACAAGCGTGTGAAAAATGACCATTCGTGTATTTGTTCCAGTGGTACAACTGTACCTGTCTTTGCTGGTGAAGAGCGAGCTCCGGAAACTGTCCAACAACTCCAACTTCCAGTTCGTGAACACCGCAGCCGAGGCCAGCTGCTCCCTGGACCTAAACAACGTCACTAGTGCCGCAGAGCCGTGATAAAATAGATGTTGCAGCGCGACCAGTGCCATAACTAGCCTTTAGAGTCCAAGAAGACTACAGACTTTTTGTCGGCCGATAGTAGATCCTTATCTACTACAACAAAGTATTAAATAATTAAGTAGTACTAATTAAAAAGTCTGTGTTGACTCTTATGCCCGGTGCAAACTTCTCCAACCCTTGACTTCAGCCAGTCAGTTCTTTTTTTCGCCCCCTACGACTGGCGCCCTGTATCTGAACAATGAACAACCCTCACGCACACCGTCTACTTATTGAACTTAGTATTTCTTGGTTATTTATACATACAGACTTATTTGCGTATTTATTGCTAACATTAAAAAAATTACATAACAATTATGTATTATTGCTTTAAAATCTTCAACTTGGGTGTCTCCAGTCTCCAGAGCAGATATTCGATTTAAAACGATACCTACCCTAATAAAAATCGCAATGTCTAATCGCGTTTCTTTTTAGATTCCCCGTACATGGTTCCTGGTTCATTTTTGTCTGGATCAGACTAGACTAAAGTTGAATTAAGGATATTTGGAATATTTGTATGTACTTGATATTCGTTAAAGAGATTCAGAACTGTTGAGAAATAAAATGCTTGTTACCAGTAAGTAATTTCATCGAAAGTGACTAGGTACGAGCGCTATAAAATAAGACTCTCTTAATTTGTATCACTTATTTTAATTTAGTCTTAAATGTACTCAATGTCCTTATAATTAATCATAACTACTATAATTAATATCTCAATATCACACATAAATTAAATTTCTAAGAGCTACCTAAAATGTTTAGGTACCTATTTACATTTTTACAATCCTCTTTACAACATTAATACAGGTGCAGCAATTTGACGAAGGTAAATAAAATTCGGTCGGGCTCGTTAAATCTGACACTACTTACCTTACCTACTACGAATATAGTGACGTCAGTGGTTACAAACCACATGACAGAGGATGATTATGTATTAAGGCCAATTTGTTAGATTTTATCATAACATGACGTGTAATATCTAAGAACATAGGAATCGTTCGTCCTGTTATGGATTCTATTAAAAGTTTAATAATAATGTTCAATATTCTGAATATGAAAAATTCTAATTCATTAATTTTGTTCAAAATTATATCATTGTTCATTCAAAGATAATTACTTCTGACATCTCTAGGGAAGAAATCCGGACATTCAATTGATTTTAGTGTATTTTTTGCAAGATTTCCATTGCTTTTAGCGGATTTTCGCTGACACTGCTGCCTTATGACTAAATGTAATTTAAGTATTAGACTTTTACACTTCGACTACACCGTGTGGTATTGTAGTGCTGGGGTTGTAGACCCCATTGGCCTCAACTTTGACCTGACCGTTGATGATCTGGTGCAGCTGGTTCTCGTATATGTTGGGACCGTCGTCCTCCAGCTTCTGAAGTAAATTCCACACGAGGACCAGCATGTATATTTGTATGCCTGAAAAGAAGTTGACATTCAAGTTGTATTACGGTAATGGTTTGGGTATACATAAGAGCTTAGAAAAAGTATTAAACTCTGCCACATAATAATGGAGCTGCAAGACTCTTCAAGTTTTGGAAAAGAGTTTTCTACTGGTATTTGTCCACTAGCTGCTTTGCGCGCAAACATCGCAGTCGGTCGTTGTGGAACTCCTTGGAGGATTCGTCCAGGAATCCTCCTTGGTTGAAGGGAAAAAATAGTAGAGTCACTAAGTGGCGGAGCACTATAGCATACGAGGCGAAGAAAATCGGCAAGACTTGGAGCGAGATCAAACGCGAAGCGCAAGACCGAACGCGATGGAGGACTGTTGTGGACGCCCTCTGTCCCATTAAGGGGACATAGGACCTTAAGTCAAGTGTGTACAAGCAAGTTAAAGAAGTATTATATACTTACATAATCCAGCGAACATTAACAGGACCAGCTCCACCACCACGAACATGTGCTTTATGGCCGTCAACTCGAATAAGCCCAGGACGACGGTCGTTAGAGTGGTGCAGAGGGCGAAGTAGTAATAGATTCGCACATATTTTTTTATTCTCTGTAAAAAAAACATTAAGTATTATTATTGGCGGTCAAGCTGTAGATCCTGGCTACACAGGAGTTGCAGCGATGGGAACGAAAGATGGGAGCAGTCATAAGCTTTATGGATTTTAAAACTCTTAAGGATTTGTAGGAAAGGTCAACTTAATACTTCAGAGAGATAATGAAAGGGGGTCCATAAGAGATTTTCTTTTACTTCAAAGATGCTGCGAAAATGTAATAATAAACATTTGTTTTTTACCTACAAAGCTACACATAACGAGTAGATAATTAATATGTAGTACACCAACTTCATTAAATTCAGTTTAGCCAGATTGAGCATGACCAGATCATCCTAGAACTTGATAAAGCTACGTTCAAATTACAATTTCTAGGAATAGCAACTTGGTACTTTAGTTATTGGATATTGTCTTGAGGAAAACATGTTTTTAAACTTTTTTACCCTCTTTAGTGTTGAAAAAAGATAATGATTCTTTGAACTCTTTATTTTCTAAGTATCGCATTGGACGTAGGCTATTTAAAGTAGCCCGTGACCCTGTTACGATAAACCAAGATAATGCACTACGAGTATTGCAGTTTGAATGACGTTTATTATCAGTGGCATTTCCCGTTTTCTATCACTTGTGACTGCACATATCTGCTGTAATGTATATTATTATTATGATTAAAGGTCAGCATATGCCGAGGAAAAAACATATTTTTCAAAGTATTCCGAGTATATTTTATTTTCTGAAAACAATATTATAGTAAAGTTATTATAGCATCAATGTTCATTACATGTAGGTAAAGTAGGTATTTTAGGTGTGCCACTCATAGGCAAAGTTGTATTTTGTATGATTACATATTTGCAAAGTTCCTCATCATCATTAAAAGTAATTTAGTTTCCCCTGTAGGAGGACGACCCTCTCTAATTTTTTTATGCCGGGTTTGGCCTACAACCTTAACCGTTGGCTAGACTGGTAGGGGAAGATGACCTGGCCAGTCGACTAGGGAAGGCTAAGCTTCATCATTATCATCACCATTTAGCCACAGGACGACCACTGCTGAAAATAGACCTCCCCCAAAGAATCCCAAATGGCCAGATGGTAGCAAAACTTACTAATGATTTATTGAAGAGATTGGGTGGAAGTGGTCCAAGAACCAATAGCGATACCGTTGGCTCCCTTTCATACCTGGGTGTAGTTGAGGTATTCATTAATACCACAACAGTATTGCATTTAATTCTTGGACTACTTTCCATATTATGCTGTATTTTGTTTAAAAAATACCAACCATATGAGCGCCGTATATGAGGAGCGCGTTGAATCCCAGCTCTAGCAGGTATATGAAGATGCACAGCTCCGCCGGCAGCCCGACGTTGGTGCCGTGGTACACCAGGTCTGTTCCCAGGCTGATGTGCACGGCGTAGCTGTATACACCCACCATGAACCCGCAGAACAGCTGGAATAAACATTTCAAAGATAACGTAAAGCGACGATAGGCAAATGGTCAAGGTGTCGGACTGGCCGACTCGTGATCCGAGGAACGCGGGTTCGATATACGACGTCGCTCGGCATCAAGTAGTCTAATCCGGCACTGAATCACCATCACCATCACCATCATCATCATCATCATCATCATCATCATCATCATCTCAGCCATAGGACGTCCACAGCTGAACATAGGCCTCCCCCAATGCCCGGTTGGTAGCTGCATTGAATAGTTTAGTGGAATTTGGCGGTTATTTTAGGTCCAAATTTATGGAATCTGGGGCAATATTACTTTTGATCTACCGCTTTAATAAAATCTGAGGTGACAACACTGACAAGAGTAAAAGTTTTGGAAACTTCTGAAACTTTCGACAAATGATAAAATCAATAAATGTTTTGAGGTATTTGTGTACCTGTATTTATCTACATTTAACTTGTTATTGCAGCTTTAGTTACAATGTCAAGTTCACTTAATGCTATCAAGAAACATCGTCACTGTAACGGAATAGGTAGTCATTAGGTGAATAATAAACAAAAACATAACCCTCTTTCTGGCGCAGTCGGGTAAAAAAAGATCGAGGGATTTTGGTAAGTTGAAGGTTTATTTACTTTAATAATAATTCATATAATAAATAATTGTTGCATTAACTATCTAAAAATCTTCCTTTCTCCTAAAATGCAGTTTATTTACCTTACACAGTAGGTTTTATACAGATGCAACGTATTCACTTCATATTATAATTACTTCAAAAAAAATCATAAAAATTGTGATTTTGAGCAATCCGACCATGAAAACTCCATTGAATAGTAAAACATGATTGACTATTACGACGGTATACCTACTCACATTTAACATGGCGTTTACCAGTATACAAAGTAATGAAAACAAGAGAAGGAACTCTGCGTTTTACTAATAACCACTTCAATCATAAACGTGAGGATTATTAATTAAGTTTTGAAAAATAATAATTGTAGTAAACAATTAAGCAATGGCTTTTAAGACGTAGGTCTAATTGTATGCTTAAAACCTAGGTAGGTTCACATAGGTAAATGAATATTCTTGTTAAACACAATTAAAGAACTGCATTCTTAAAAGTAGAATCATCTATGTGATACTGTAATTATGTAACACTTTTTTGTGACAAGTAAATACTATCACAACACAATGTTTAGGATACTACAACTGCAATAAGGAAGTGGGCACTTACGACATTTAAATATGCAACCACCAGGACTCCCCTTCGTAAGGGCATGCAGAAGCAGCACCTCTGAAGCACAGGCCAGTCGCAATACATCTTCACGTTACAAAAACACTTCAAAACACAAATGTACTCCACCAAAATACGATCACCACTGCGTCCAGCTCAATTTGTGCCTACACTGAATCAACTACTTGTCACACCATTTATCTAATGGAGACCGGCATTGTCTGGCCGCTATACACGTAATGTTCCTTTATAAATGCAAACGAAAACTATCCACTTTATATGCTGCGGACCTCTGGCCTCTGGGCGATACACTATCTAATGTAAACATTTAATTACTACGGCATTAATTAATATACCTGATTAGCGAATCCGAAAAATACTCTGAAATAGTGATTTTTATCTTCATTGGTGTTTTCAATAGTTTGCACTGGGTCCGATAACAATATTTATATGGTCAATACTAATTAGGTATTTGATTGGCTCTTAGAAGTGGTTCCTCTTAGAAATGTTACCCTATCGCTTTTAAGCTGTAATTTTTTTCGAGGAAAATATCGCTTGAGATGTTCTTTCAGGAAAAATGTGTGGCATTTATATGACTCATCATGCTGGTCTTAAATTGGTACGTGTTACAATGTTTCAAATGGCATACCTGTTGGCTGACCTACCTTGAGGACGTTTCAATAAAAGATCCAGAGAAACTACGCGCGTTTTACGTAGTTCCTTTTGTTGGAAGGGGAAAATCGTTCAGTCTTGATTCGGAAAACAGACTTCGTTTTGGTACTTATCCCCAAAAAAATGCTAAAATAATATTGCTATAATTAATTAAGAAAATTGAACGCCTAATGAAGAAACTTAACTGATGACCTACCTTATCAAATAAATTGCCATATCTTTTTTTTGTTAATTGCTCCGTAACTTTCTCTTGCAAATACGAGTAGTTTTTTTTTGTTTTTTTTTTTTCGTGTTAAGCCTCCACAACCCTACTGATTGTTTTTTTTTGTTTCTTTTTTCGTGTTAAGCCTCCACAACCCTACTGATTGTTATCCGCAGTAGAACTCGAGTGGACCACCAAGTCTTATCATCATCATCATTTTAGCAAAACACGATATCCCTCTGTCATCCATCAACTGCTAGCTTGAAGTCGTCTGTCCATCGAGCAAGTGGACTTTGTCGTAATCTCGCTCTACTATGGGAGTAAGTAGAGAGGATGTCTTTCCCGAAAACTGTAATCCGGGCCTTTTCAAGGCGAGAGTGAATAGGCACTTACAGGGCAGATATGTACCATCCTAGACTGCATCCCACTTAACATCAGGTGCGATGGTGGTCAAATAAATACCTGCCTTGTTATGCATAAAAAAAAATTTTTGCATCTCACTTTCATCTGAATCTTTCATTTTAAGCCGTTCCCCGAGCAACGAGCTTTCTGACTAAACCAATACCTCAGCCTTTCGGGCTTAGTTATTCTTCTGTGGGCGCTAATTTTAGGCTTCTTCTAGGCTATTTCCCAGCCCTTCTTCGCAAAATTGGATCATTTGGAACCATAGAAAAATATCACACCTTCAATCTTTTTTTTGTCAGGGAAAACTGCGGGGACAGAGGTTATGTGGGGTTCGCAAAGTCAGAAGGTCTTTCGCCTTAAGTGGGAAGGAACTGTGGGGTTCCGGCCAAAGCCTTTACTACCACTGTACCCTACTATACACCTCCAATCCTATACCAACTATTTTAAAAACGCTGAGACAAGATAAAGATTATGGTCACCTCTTGTCATTATTGCCAGAAAATTGATGTCAACGGTTATCAACAATGTCAAAAAGACAATAATCACAAGTCAAGACGTAAATTTGCGGTTAATTTAATATTTGTTTTAATTTATTCCGTAAATTGATAACCATGTTTACAAACCACTGAAAGTGTTACGAAAATTATGAATAATGTTTTTGTTAATTATTTAATCTCGGTTCTTATAACTGAGTGTTTGGGACATCGTCATAGCACCACACGTTATCTTCGACATGTAGAATTTTTATTATTTATATTATTTTATTCACTTCACTATGTGTCTGAAGTTAGAAGTGACTCTACCTACTATAGAAAATTTTCTACTGATGTATACTTTACGAGTCGGATGCATTATAATTCTCGTTTGGACAATGGTAAGTATTCATAAGTATTTGTAGTATATCCTGACTTTATCTTACAGGCTAGGTGTATCACAGAAGTATCAGAAGGTAGAGACCGTTTCCAAGAAAAATAACATGACAATAGCGCTAGCAGTTCTCATTTTGCTTACTATTCTAAGTACTATGAAAACGAAACCGTAACATGCTTCTTTTTAAAGAAGAAGATAAATACTAAGCATGTTGCAAACGTATGAGATGCGGTATGGAAATACCATCAACACTTATCACCAGTACTATTCAAACCCGCAACTTTCAGCTAGTATTCATGATTGATTAGAATAATATATTAAAATCTTGCCTAGTTAGATTCTGCATTCCATAACACAGCAACAATATGGTAATAAGTAGGTAGCTCTAACATGATGAATAAGATAATTCATATTCTTAATAAATACATTTAAAATCAAAATCAAAGATAGAGCAGAGAAGAAATGTTTGCCAATCTGAAATAATTATAAATATTAACATTATGCTGTATTGTAAATATTCTCTATAATATTGGAGATAAATAGTACTTTGAAGAGGCGGCTGAGATACAGATGTAATGTTCCGGGAACACCGCTAGTAAACAAGCAGTGACCTCATAGTTTTGTTGCACAAACAGACAAACAATATTATTATAGCAGCAATTTCTGTGTAGCCTATGCGAATGATAACAGAGATTATAGTTCGTTGTAAATACTTATTTTCACGCTAAATCAAGGTCTCCTACTGTGACAATGAAAAAATGGATTACATCTGTATTGAAGAACATACAATAAGTAGAGTAATATTGAACTGACACACATACATGACTGAGGAAAATGCGGTCCCAATTGCGACAATTTCCAAAGCACAACTTCTTTAGTAACATATTAATTCAATTTTATTGTGATTATAAATAATCTGCGTTTTTCTTCCGACTTCGAAATAAACCCAAATCTCGACAAATGCTTCACAAACTTAACCCTTATTCAAATAAAGGTAAATATATTACCACTTTGTTTACTTTTAAAAAAGGATCCTAATTTTCGATATGGTAATACTTAAAGATATCTTGGTCACTTATTTATATTTTTAAATATATTTTTTTACTTCTCTATGCCATTTTACAACTTTTCAACGTCATTTGTCACTGTCAGGTAATGTCAAAGTCAACCAAACGGTTTTGGTGTGAAAAATTTCAAGTTTTTAGCGCGCGTTTTTGGTATTTTTGAAACTTTGTTCAACGAAAATTCTGATAAGTGTTTTTTGGATTCAAATTCCTAAACTAGTTATAACATTTATTGTATAATCTCACTTATAGGCAACGTCTGCAATTGATTTATTCATATAATTTAGACATTTTAAAGAAGTGGTAAATAGTTTACCATTGTCCGATCCCGTCTTGACAAAAGTTTGATGATATATAAAAAAACTGCTGTTTTATGTATGTGCACAAATAAAACTAAATAAATATTTGGAGAAATTTTAAGTTATTTTGATATCTATTTACGTAACGTTTTGACGTTACGTAATTAGTGAATTGTTAGTTTCAGACTCAAGGTAAGCATCCTAATTGTAAGCATAATAAGTAATATTAATAAATATAAAAACAATATATTTATTTCATTCCCAAAATATTTAATAAAATATAGGTAGAACCAAGAGGAAGTCACTAGTCAAGAACCAAAAATAAACCAAAACGGACAATGGTAACTATTTTACCACCAACATTTAATAATTCGTAGTCATGAATGGATAATGGTAAATTATTTACCACCCAAAAAACTACCCCTTCCCCTATTTTTTTATAAATTTTGATCAAAAATATGAAATAAGTGACCCACAATTACCCAAAATCCACTTCAACTTTGTAAAAAAAATGCATACCAGCTCGCGTTTGAATAAGGGTTAANTTAGGAGTTGGAGGATAATTCTTTAAATATTATAAGTACAAATAGACCAACAGTTGTATTCTTTCATGTTTTTAAGGTGGGCTGACGGTTTAAGGTCTTTTTAGGTTTCCTATATGGTAACCTGAATTTTGTAGGGAATATTATTTTACACTAGACATGAAGAGTATGGTCTCAATGTACTGCCTACCTTCAGTGGTAACATCAAGGTAATAATTAGTTAACTAAAAAGCAATAAATAAGTAAAATTTTATAAAAAAAAATAAAACCGACTCCAAAAAACCTACATTAAAAAGTAGAAAAATAATTACTAATAACCTACTTATTTATTAGGACGAATTAATATTTATGTAGGTATACCCAGATTGATACTTTTGGAGTCGGTGCAGGCAAACTTTACATGTTTCATAATCTTGGCACCGACTCCAGAAGTATCAATCATGGTATACCTACATAAATATTAACTAATTCGTCCTAATAAATAAGTTTTGATCAAAAATATGAAATAAGTGACCCACAATTACCCAAAATCCACTTCAACTTTGTAAAAAAAATGCATACCAGCTCGCGTTTGAATAAGGGTTAACAAGTGCATGTTGTCTTGGTATATTTTCTTCTTCTTTATCTTTATCTTTATCTCCACAATAAAGAAATAGTACAATACTTAAATATCTGCAAACAAAAGTTACCTTACTTGTATTAGCAGATAATAAACCATTGCTCCTTCTTTTTCGTAATTTACATTAAACGATTGTTCTTTAACACAAAAGACGGAGTCGTCTACCTATTGCGCTGTTCATATTACACATTTCTGTTTCAAAATCGCATCTATCAGAACCAGATAAGAATTGTCACTATGTCTAGTTCAATGTGTCGTCGTTTCCATTCACAACAAGTCATCTTATACTTTCAGCTCCGCTCACTGCTCTGCTACCTATTTTTCGTGGACGCCATATTGGAGATTTTACTGAAACGCAAGCTGGTACCGATACTGGTGACCGACCCGAAAGCGAAGATCATAGACAAAGACAGCATCATGATTGTCTACTTCATCTACATAGGAATGCTGCTGGCAGAGTCCTTCCTATTTGTCGCGTCGTGGTACCTTGCAAGAGGACTCTATTTGGTAACGTTTACAAGCTCTATATAGCTTAGTTGTTGAAAAAGTTCATGTCCCTTCACTTACTCCCTTATTACATCATACCTACATCAACGGGACAATGCCCACCTCCAGATTGGCAGCCAATCAATAATGGTTTATCCCAGCCGGAGGAAAGTTAAAGTGTTATTAGACCTGCAACGAAATTAATCACTTACATTGTCAAACATCTGTAAAGCACTGCTACTTATTATATTATGTTTTCATATAAAATATTTCAGTACTTTTACTTAGTTGCTAACCCAAATTAAGCCAGTGCATCCATATCTCCATTCACTTGTGATAGTGCACCAGTTATCTATAGCTTATCAGGAACATGTTTATTTAACACTTTTTTAGCAATATCCCTTTCTGAAACTCCTTATCACACAGTACAGTTCAATAATAAAGATGATGTACGTTTTAGGAATTTGGGGGACAGATGCTTAACAGCCTCGGTCCGATCAAGGCATCTAGAGTCAGAGACTCTGTAGAAGCTATCCCATAAAACTGCTCAACCTTTACTGGTTGGGTTTCATTGAAGACCAAACGTAGGTAAATCCTGACTTTACAGGAGTTGAAATGGTGGAAGGTGGAAGAGATGGGTTAGTCCCGATTCATACAGAGGTCTTTATATCTAGTACGGGACAGCTCACATTTAAAAAGGAGTATTCTTTTTCTAGTGATTGCTATGCTAATTTTTAATTCATTTTTCAGTATAGATCAGATTATTTCGTCCCCTACCTGGTGTGTCGGATGGCTACGTGGGCAGTCGAAGTATTACTTTTGGTCGTGCTGTGCATCATCCACAAGTTTCTCATTGGCTGGTACTTAGGAATACTGTTCTTCGTTAGTAAGTTTCTAGCAACTCGTGGCAGATTGAATTTTGTAATATGAAAATAGAAACTCCTTGATTCTACTTTTTGGAACTGTTAAGAACTAATTATCTAGGTAGATTCATTAAGAAGCAGGAAGGCGAGAGATGCAGGCTGCTACCAACCGGTTAATATAGATATTATTGGGGGAAACCTATCCTCAGCAGAGGACGTCCTGTGACTGATGAAATTATGATGATGATGACGTAGGAAAAGTTTTTAATTTAACATTTCTTGCAGTTCTCGAGTTCTACGCATTCATCGTGGTGTACAGTTATTACTGCGAGCTGTGGGATTGTGACCACCCTTGTAAGCAGGAAGACGACAGCAGCCATTTTAATATTTGTTCAAGCTCTTAGACTCAGCTCAAAATCCGCGTTATTATTTATCAAGAGGAAGATTTTAGAAGAGTGTACGTCATCATAGAGTCAGATTTCGGCAACTACCTACTATAGAAACTAATACTTATCCTCAGTTATAAGGTTGAAATTCTTCGGTCATATTATCTATGTACGGCCTTTTTAACCGATAAAATGATAATGATAACGCCCAGTAGAATCGACTGATAACGATGCATGAAGCCAGTCGCATAATGCTTGAGCCAAAACATCTACACAATTTTTTGTTCTTATTTGTTTGGGCCACAAATTAAATAATTTTGGGTGTGTGAGTGTGAGTGAGGTGTTGGGAACTTGGAGTAAACATGCCTTTGAGTCTGCCCAGGCTCACGAGATGTTGTTTTTGCTTATCACTAAGAACTGGTTCACTGATTATCGGATATGTTTCAATCGTGAGTAATCTTTGATTTTTGGAACCTTAATGAATTAATTTGTAATTTGATTTATTTTATATTGCAAAACCTTCCATGAATTTTTGTGAGTCTTAATAATAATTTGAAAAATGTGAATTTATGTGATGTAGTAAAAGATAGTAGTACTAGTAAATCGTAAACTAGGTTCAGTATTTAGTCGATCGTTTTGAAAGCAATTAAGGGAATCGAATTCCTATCGTACCTAAATGCTATCAAACTCTTAAAAAATGTCACTGCAAAACTGCAATAATGCTGAAGGTACACAGAGAGCGAAAAATCAGGTCTATAAAATACAAATTACAATTTCAGTTGCTCTCCCTACTGTTTATGGCGACAACGTCCTACTTCCTATACATGGTGGTGAAGTTTGTGGAGGAAAATAAAGACAAGCCGAACCCGGAGCACCCTCCAGATGAGCTGGCGCAGGTGGCCCTGGGGCTCTACGTCTCGCAGGCGTACTACCTGCTCGTGTATCTGTACCTGATTGTGATTAGTGTGATGCTGGTCGTAGGAGTGCATATGGTAAGTTTGATGTATACTTAGCTGAGTAACTCTAGCACCTTCCAGATGAGCTGGCACAGGTAGCCCTGGGACTCTACGTCTCGCAGGCGTACTACCTGCTCGTGTATCTGTACCTGATTGTGATTAGTGTGATGCTGGTCGTAGGAGTGCATATGGTAAGTTAGGATGTTTACTTAGATAAATAACTCTAGCACCCTCCAGATGAGCTGGCACAGGTAGCCCTGGGGCTCTACGTCTCGCAGGCGTACTCACCCACACAATGCGTAGTAGGTACGCAAACAGGTAGAAATCTGTTTATGTATATCAGTGTAAAAAGTACGAGTATAGCACATAAGTAGAAGTGACAATTACTAGAATTACAAAAATTAGCGGAAGTGTTTTCCACTGCATGACAGTAGCGATAATGATTAAGCAGAATCGTAAATGATGAACATTTCAAAATAAAGTTGATAAATAAAAATAGCCAATGATATCTGCCGTATTTTGACAGGATTTACACGGAATCTCACTTTTAATCTCAGTGTGATTGAGTAATTCCATGGAATTCAAAATTCATGTAAAGTTATTTTTTTGTTTGTGGGCCACTTTCCATGTAAGTAAGTAGATATTGAACATGGTCATCAAACTATTCTACAGTCTTTACATCAAGAACCTATAAACCGGCGCTGTTAATGAAAGTACCCAATCAAATTCATCGTAATAGGTAATAACTAAGTATTTCCTATGAACATATCAACTCAAAATCTCCATTTTCAAAGATTATACATAGGTATATAGAGTCATGATGACTGATACAGTTTTCGGCAAAAATGTTTTGTGAAAATGAGTCTAATGTTTATAACTGATTCATACATTGATACCTAACTACCTACCTAAACTGTGAATAGTTTCCTTATCAAAATTCGCATATTACGTATCCTACGAAGTAATTTTAAATATAATTTTATCAATTGTTTTTTTTTTTAATATGTTTTCTTTTGCAGAACAATCACCACCTTTTGAGGTATTATGTGTACAGTGGGTTCTTCCTGTTCGGCATGGCGCTCGCCTTGGTCGTGGTGTCGTTCGTCTTCGTGGGCTTCTTGGGCACTCTGCCCTTGCTTAAGTGGTGTAGTAAGTATTGCCTTTATTTTAATAATCAGTACCACACCTACTTGTTAGCTCCTGTAGCCCTTCAAGTGAGCGAATCGAGACACAACAGAAATAAATTGAAATGTTATGAGGGCGGTAACAAGCGTCGCGTCGTCTCGAAAATTTTAGGAGACGTTTGAATAAGATTTTTTTCTAAGTAAAAGTAAAAATTGTATTTATATATTTTTCTTTTAATTACTTTCATGTGTAGGTAACAACCATCTCTGAGATGGGCGTTGTTTTACAAAACCACACCCTGTATACGCGCATGCTAGCGGCTTACAAAAGTCTTTGTATGATGGCTAAGTAAGCACTAAACTTTAGCGTACTACCTAGTAAACACAATAAACTTAAGAATAGACGTCGTGAGTCACATACCGACAGGGAAGTTGTTAAAATGGCTCAATCGGACTGACACGTGTAGGTCGGTCGTTATAACATAAAGAAGAACCCAAATCAGGATGAATTTTATGCAATATTTAATACATTCAGCCCGATTCCTTGATCTGAAACTGAACTTTCAACCTGACAATTAATTGCCAGTACCTATGATTGTTTTGGAATCTAACTCTGTCCGACTTTCATGATTTTATGTTCCAATCATTATAGGTGCCTGTCATGAGATAATGGAGGCGGTATTGGGCATTGGCTAATTAATGACAACAAATAACAATTAGAATAGAAAAGATACTTAGATGATAGGTTCGTTCGTTCGTTCGTTTCAGCCGAAAGACGTCCACTGCTGGACAAAGGCCTCCCCAAGGATTTCCACAAAGACCGCTTGCATCCAGGTACCTCCCGCGACCTTCACCAGATCGTCGGTCCACCTAGTGGGAGGCCTGCCCACGCTACGTCTTCCGGCTCGTGGTCGCCACTCAAGAACTTTCCTGCCCGAGCGGCCATCAGCTCTTCGAGCTATGTGCCCTGCCCACTGCCACTTGATTTTAGCGATTCTGCGGGCTATGTCAGTCACTCTGGTTCTCCTACGGATCACCTCATTTCTGATTCGATCACGCAGGGAAACTCCGAGCATAGCACGCTCCATCGCTCTTTGGGTGACCTTGATTGAGCCTTCTTATGAGAAGATACCTACAATTAAATAGCATTTTTTTTTTAATAATAACGTATTTGTTTCAGTGACCCACTTCTTCTGCCTTCTTATTGTACGAAGCACATACCTCGAAATGGAAGAGCAGAGCCGACCGAAATCCTTCGAAATGCAGCACCTTTACAGCCCACCGGCACCTTTAAATATATAATTTTATTTAAAATAAATATAAGACTGATGTAAACCGTTTTATTTATTTTTCCATGTTCTTTATCAATGCCTTTTTCTGTAGAATGGTTTTAGTAATTTAGTTTTTCAGGGGTAGATGGAAAAGTTCATACTAACTAGCTACCCATAAATATTCCAATCTCCTGTTGGTAAGTCAACTGCAAAATCTTTTATCTTTAATTCTGCTAGAAATAAAACAGTAAAACTACGACTAAAATGCAGATTTTAGTTTAGTCTATTCTATTATTAAGTCTTTAATTTATACAAGTTACAGTGCGGAAACTGCTTGATCCTTTTATTCAGTTCTGTTGATCCACATTCTCCTAAAAGATTTTTTGATTGCTTTACAACCACATTCAATATTAACAAAGAAAATGACGCATTTTCTGCTATGTCTATTTGAATTACATCACAATTCACATACACGTTTTTAGGGAGGGTATGGCGTCTCCTCTTTGTGCAATAATATTTTTAGGTAGGTATTTATAATAATTTCATAATAATCACATTACACAAAAAAATTAAATCTTGAACGCATTGATATAAATTAAATATAAAACTGTCAAAATGACGTATTAACCAATTAAATCAGGAAGGCAGCGTACGTGATCATTGTCTCTCGGATTTCTCTTTTACTCTCGCATAACTCAAAACATCCTCGTTCTCGCTTATACAAAAATAACCCGCAATACAATTTTGTTGGTTAATTATTTCATTTGACTTCGCGATTCGCGAAGCGCACGTATTTTGTCCTTTGGAAAATATTACTTTTGCCCAAGTTAATGCAAACCGAAATGAAAATAAATTAATTATTTGCTTTTCTGGCCAAACACAAGCCAAGATGTCGTCTAAATTTCATCAGGCCGCTAATGTTACGGCTCAAAACCAGGTTTGTTGACACCTAGCGCGGCAATGCGTTTGGAAGATCATGAAATTGAGTTTAATTGTATTTCTGTAACTGTTTGTTAATATATTTGTCTACGTGAAAACGTTTTTTATTACCTATTCCATTTGCAGCTTGTACAATGGATCAACGAAGCTGGTATGAGCGAAGGTGGCAAAAAAACTGCCCTGTTGAGGAAGATTATAGAGCTACTGCTCCATTCTGCCTCACAAATGATACCGGTCTACATGGAGAATATCTTGAGTTACGTTAACGATAAGTCTACTGACGTGAAGAAACAAGTTATTACATTTATTGAAGAAATGAGGTTAGCTCATTCACTATGTGAATGTTATTTATTGGGCAATACTTTTGGGCTAGGGTTTCAAGAGTTTATTGTATGTTTCCTCTTTCATCATGCAAACTTATCTATTATCTTTGACTACGCTCGAGTTCGTTGAGTTTGACTTTTTAAAGTTATAAATTTTTCTACAATTTCAACTTATTAATCCAAGTTTATCATATTTACCATTTAAATCATCATGCATCAAACCTCTAAAATTACAGCAAACTACATCCCGAGTATCTACCAAAAGTGATTGGTCAACTTCGGCTACTTGTAGCGGACACCGTAATCGCAGTGCAGAAGCGAGCCATCCAGGCCGCTAGTATAGTCTACAGAAACACGCTGCTGTGGATATGCAAGACCGATGCGGAGATGTCCGAAATGCAGTACGTCTGGGATAACCTTACACAACTAAAGGTAAATCAATAAATATTGTATAGGTGGTTGGTTTTTGCAGATTTTTATTCATGTTACTGTCTTTAAATCATGGTAGGTACTACCACATATAATATTATTACTGTGAAACAGCTGAACACCCAACAACATTTGCGTAACTTTTCTAATATCTATTTATTCATTAATCTTCTATCATACCTGAGGTGGAATTGTGTAAAGCAATCATAATCATTTGACAGTTCATAACGTACAATATAGTCAGTTAAACAAAGTGTTTGACAGAATAACTGTATGTTATGAACTGTCAAATGATTATGATTGCTTTATAGTTCCAAAATACTGAACTGTCCTATGCATGACATTGACAGTGGGGCGCCACCGTCAATACCGGATCGCTGGTTCCGATTTTTGCCATGTTGGAAACCATATAGTTGAACGATGGTAGCGCCCCCCTGTCACTGAGTTTGGTGGGACAGTTCAGCTTGGGTCATCTATACACAATTCCACCTCTGGTTTTTTTCATTTTTTTTTTCATGTATGCCCGAATTTACTTTTAGTTACTAAATACTACTATTCTGTAATTTAAGTTCTATCTCTATTTTCCTCAGCTCATGGTCCTGAACATGATCGACAGTGATAACGAAGGTATCAGGACTCACTCCATCAAGTTCCTGGAGGAGGTGGTCTTGCTGCAGAGCCCTGGTGAGGGCACGGAGGATGACTTCAGCCTCGAGAGCTTCCCGGCCACTCTGCCTTTTATAAATAGAAAAGCTATTGAAGAAGAATCAGAGTAAGTAGCCACATCAAGTTGTTAATTTCAATTAATAAATCAACAAGTCACTTTGTCATCTATCCATCCATGTGTAAAAAAGATCTGTCAATTATAATGGGGATGTTGCCTGGGTCAAAAAGCAAGAGTTTTAATTAGTCCGTCAGTTAACTTATCAGAAAATACTCTACACGTATTTTTCACTTTTTCAAACTAATGAAAATTTAAAGAGATAAAGCGCCCCAAAGTTCATAAGAAGAGGCCCGTGACGTCAACGCTTGCTTAAAAATGCCGCACGTTGTGACGTCGTGCGCAACTTCAACGCACCATAACTATGTAATTATTTGTTAGATTGACAAATAAAAATATATGTGTCCAATATTTTTTAATATTAAACATTACGGACTAAAAAAATTTTTTTTGGCAACTAGCCTATGCAATGAGCACAGATCTGAAAGACACAATGACTTTGGTCTTTGGTGGTCTCTAAAATTACCTTTTATTACATGTTTATTATTAACCTAATGTCTTATTTCTTTCCAGACATATTTTTGACCTGCTAGTCAAGTTCCACAATTCTCAACATATTTCTAGCGTGAATTTGATGGCTTGTATGACAACACTATGTCTACTGGCCAAATTCAGGCCCAAATACATGCCACGAGTCATACAAGCTCTAGGCGATCTGCACACGACCCTGCCGCCCACACTCTCACAGTCACAAGTTAACTCAGTCAGAAAACACCTGAAGATGTTACTCATTAACATAATAAAACATCCCTCTTCAAACGAAATGATGCCCCAACTCACTCAACTGTTGGTTGATATAGGCATGACCACTCAGGAAATAAACAAGGTTATACCTAAAGAACGAAGAAACAAACGCGTAGGTGAATTGAAATCTGGAGAAATTCCATCTAAAAGATTCAGGGTAGATTCCCCACAAAGCGTCAGTCAGGGAAGCGACAGCAATAGCAATAGTCGCAGCGACTTTAACATGTTCGAAGAGGACAGCAGTCAAGGTGCACAAAAACCAGCAGTCACTGAAGACACTATCTACGAGGGACTAAACAACGTTGAGAATGTCGTCAATCTCGTTACGACTACATTAGTCAATCAACTACCGGTCGACATGCCTGCTAATTTCGTTACGGCTTATAAGCCTATACCGAATTCGGGTAGCAAAGTTCAAAAGAAACATTTGGCTAAAATGATGCTGGCGCTTATAAAAGACGAGGCGGTCATTCCAGTGCCCCCGCCATCCCAACCCACGCTGTCAGACTTGGCTGCGAAGATTCCGCTGCTCAGAGATGACGAGGAAAAGACCACCCTCAAAAACGCAGTGGCAAAGTTACAAGAATCCACAAAAGCGGATAGACAAATGGAGAGTGCCGTTTCTAAACTCATGGAGGAAACACGACAAGAGCATCTGAAGGAGGAAGAGAGAAAAGCCAAAGAAAAGGAAAAACCTGTTCCTCCACCCACACCGTCAGTCCCGAAGCTCAAGCAAAAGGTCAAATTGTTGAAACTGCAGGAAATAACCCGTCCTATCCCCAAAGAAATAAAGGAGAGATTAATGATACAGGCTGTGAACAGAATTTTGCACGCAGAAAAGGAGAGCGCGATAGGCGGCGCGGCGCAAATAAGGGCGAAATTCATAACGATTTTTGCGTCAAGTTACACGCCAGAAATAAGGGAATTGGTTCTGAATTACATATTGGAAGATCCTGCAAATAGAATAGAGTTAGCATTATCTTGGTTGTACGAGGAGTATGCTTTTATGCAGGGCTTCAATCGTCATCCAGTGACGTTGCAGCCGAAATTACACGAGAAGCACGATCAGAATTATAATCAGTTGCTATGCGCACTAATCACTCAAATATCAGAGAGAGGGGATCCTACTATGGAGAATAGCAAGGATGTACTGCTCAGAAAAATATACGCGGAAGCACCTGTGATAACGAGTGAAGCTGTGGACTACCTCAAACATTTGGTTAGCGAGGACAAAGTGGCGTTCCTAGCGCTTGAAATATTGGAGGAGTTGTGCATAATGAGGCCGCCACGCTCGCATAAGTTCATGAATTCTTTGGTTTGCCATGTTTGTAAGTATAAACTGTTTTTGTCAGCTACTATTAAATGCTATAAAAATATGTTTTGAAATAGTCTGCTTACAGGTTTAGCTAAAATTGATTTTATTTAAAAACAAAAATAACATTCATTTATTTGCAAGCCCCTTATCTCCAAATTAGAGACTTAAGGAAGTGCAGTCGCAGCGACGAAGACGATACCGTAACGATAACGCGATGTGCGTTGCGCTTCTGTTTCTCTTTCGTCATTTAAACCAGACTGTAACATAGATGCGCATCTTAAGCGCTCCTTCCCTCTCTTATATTGAATGCTGCCATCTAAATCACAAAAGGCTAGTTTCTAAAAAAATTTTTTTAGTCCGTCATGTTTAATATCAAAAAATATTGGACACATATATTTTTATTTGTCAATCTAACAAATAATTACATAGTTAAGGTGCGTTGAAGTTCCGCCGTCACAACGTGCGGCACTTTTATGCAAGCATTGACGTCACGGGCCTCTTCTTATGAACTTTGGCGCGCTTTATCTCTTTAAATTTTCATTAGTTTGAAAAAGTGAAAAATACGTGTAGAGTATTTTTTGATAAGTTAACTGACGGACTAATTAAAACTCTTGCTTTTTGACCCAGGAAACATCCCTATTTACCCTTTCAGTGAACGAAAACATCGAGATCCGAGACGCAACTCTAAAAGCGGTCGTGAAGATTTACCAATGCGGTACAGAGGCAGCCAAGAAAGTCATTGAGAAGCATGCTCTCCTATACCTCGGGTTTATTTCGTTGTCCAGTCCGCCTCCCGAGCTGGTGTCTGCAAGGCACCATGGTCTGAGGGTGCCGTGGAACGATGAGATGGTGAAGGTCTGCCTAAGTTTAGTCATGGCTCTGTTCCCGTATAATGAGGGTGAGTTTCGTTGAAATCTTTGAGTTATTAACTTTAGGGGGTTTCTATTTCGGAGACATCTTTTTAAATCAGCCAGCAAGTTATACTATAGTTAGTTAACAACTTTAGTATTTATTAGTATTTTTTCTTTTCTTTTTAAAGTAGGTATATTAAATAAGATAAATAATATAAATTATTAAATAATATAAATTAAGATAAAATATAAATGCTTAATGCTTGTGTTATGAGTAGGTTCACCACAATAGTTCAGCGACAAACGAGGTTTGATTTGAACAAGCGTTCCTCGGATTTCGAGTCCGATATCATCAACGTTAGGCTGTTGTTTAACTTTATAAACAAAATTTGGTCAAATCCATACGACCTCTGTGCTTATCATCTATAGTCTGGTCTGAGAGCACGTAGAATTTTGTTCAATGACCCCTCGCACACTCACTGCGGGCGCGCGTCGCACAGTCACGACAGCAATATAATTACGCGCGAGCGATAAGGATGGGTAGCTTGGGGTCATTGGACAAAATTCTACGTGCTCACTGACCGGGCTTTAACAGCAATTTCAAAATATTTACTTAGATTTATGTGATTTTTACAGAACTAATAATAGAAGTGGCTCGCGTATACGGTTGCGCGGGCTCGGAAGCCAAACGCGTAGTACTACGAGTGGTGGAGGGTCCGGTACGGGCGGCTCTCGCGACGCCGAATCCTGATGGCGGGGACTCCGCCCTACGTCCCGCCTTCAGAGGGCTATTAGACGAGTGTCCCAGAGGAGCTGAGACCCTGTTGACCAGGCTCGTGCATATATTCACGGAGAAATGTAAGTTTAACATCTTGACAAATAATAGAAGCGGTAAACGCAGCGTAGGACGTCCACCTACAAGGTGGATAGACCTCATAAAGGTAACAGGAAGGCACTGGGCGCAGGCCGCTAACTACCGGGCAATCTGAAAATCATTCAATGCAATCACGTCCTATGACCGAAATGATGATGATGAATGAATGAAAACGGTTGCGCGAAGCCAAAGGCATAGTATAAGGCCCTGTGCGGGCGAATCTTGCGACGCCATATCCTGATGGCGAGGACTCCGCCCTACGTCCCGCCTCAGAGGGCTATTAGACGAGTGTCCCAGAGGAGCTGAGACCCTGTTGACCAGGCTGGTGCATATATTCACGGAGAAATGTAAGTTTAACATCTTGATAAATATAGAAGCGGTAAACGCAGCGTAGGACGTCCATCTACAATGTGGATAGACCTCATAAAGGTAGCAGGAAGGCGCTGGGCGCAGGCCACTAACTACCGGGCAATCTGAAAATCATTCGATGCAATCACGTCCTATGACCGAAATGATGATGATGAATTAATGAAAACGGTTGCGCGAAGCCAAAGGCATAGTATAAGGCCCTGTGCGGGCGAATCTCGCGACGCCATATCCTGATGGCGGGGACTCCGCCCTACGTCCCGCCTTCAGAGGGCTATTAGACGAGTGTCCCAGAGGAGCTGAGACCCTGTTGACCAGGCTCGTGCATATATTCACGGAGAAATGTAAGTTTAACATCTTGATAAATAATAGAAGCGGTACACGCAGCGTAGGACGTCCACCTACAAGGTGGATAGACCTCATAAAGGTAGCAGGAAGGCGCTGGGCGCAGGCCGCTAAAAATCGGGCAATCTGAAAATCATTCGATGCAATCACGTCCTATGACCGAAATGATGATGATGAAATGATGAATGAATGAAAACGGTTGCGCGAAGCCAAAGGCATAGTATAAGGCCCTGTGCGGGCGAATCTCGCGACGCCATATCCTGATGGCGGGGACTCCGCCCTACGTCCCGCCTTCAGAGGACTGTTGGACGAGTGTCCCAGAGGAGCTGAGACCCTGTTGACCAGGCTCGTGCATATATTCACGGAGAAAATAGCGACTAATATAAAATAATTTTAAAGCCTCGACGGATACAATTTTTCATCTCACCAGATGGAAACATTAGGCCGAAGGTGGAAACGAGTTTCACCGAAATCTTCAGCCACATTATTTCTAGTTGGACAGTTGATTGTGCTTTATTTACTCGCGCGATCATGTAATCAGCTTATAAATTAGCCTTCACTCATGATGTCAATTTGTATTACCTAAATAATTAATAACTATTGAAGGCAATGTGATTTGAGCGAATCGTACCATTCACTATTCTGTGTATTTTATGACAAATGGTTGTGTACAGACAACATTATATCAAATTAAAAACTGACTCCATAGAGTTAATATTCCTTCGGAATAGAGCAATAACCGCGGTTCTGTTTGACGTGACGGCGACGGCATCACGCATCTCTTTTTATCACACAGTGTTGCTGCTAATGACATCTCGCCCGCTCAGTTCTTTGTTGCTATATTCCGCTAGGTATATTCATTTTATGGTCCTTATGTCGTCGTAATAAGTGCTACTTTATAACATACATGGTTACAGCGGCGCCGAGCGCGGAGCTAGTGTCGCGTGTACGAGAACTATACGCGACTCGAGTGTCGGACGTGCGTTTCCTCATCCCCGTCCTCACCGGACTCTCCAAGAAGGAGGTCAGTATACAGCCAAAGGATCAGCTCTAGATAGTAGCATTCGGTTAAGCTCCCTTAGCTCTCACATTTGCCTCTAGCTAAAGCCTGGTCTGTGAGCACGTAGAATTTTGTCCAATGACCCCAAGCTACCCATCCTTATCGCTCGCGCGTAAATTATGTTGCTGTCGCGACTGTGTGACGGGCGCCCGCAGTGAGTGTGCGAGCTCGGGGTCATTGGACAAAATTCTACGTGCTCACAGACCAGACTAGACAAAGTAACATTCAGGTCAACCCCCAAATAAAGTATAGCAATCGAGATAGATTACGAGTACTACAATAGACATGTTGACACCACCAATCAATTGACGTACTTTTTAAAACTGTCAAAACGAGATTCTCCCATAGAATTTGTATGGCAAAGGCAATACAAGCAAGTGACGTCACTATTTTGTCAACTCAATTAAACTACTTTTATTTTAAATTACAATGCAATCAAAAATCTTAATTTACAGGTAATTTAAAATTAATTAAGTATTGAATACCAGAATGAAGTGTCTTTTAAAAAAACTTATGGATTTCGAATTATTGGGAATTAGTGACAAATAGTCTATTTAGAACACTAGATTTGTATACTAAAGTCATTATCAGATCGGCCCTTACTTAACGTGTCACAAGTGAAGGGAGGACCTTAAAAAAACACATCAAAAAGATAAAACATTTTTAATGCAATTATTTCAGATATTAGCAGCTTTACCAAAACTAATAAAATTGAACCCGGTTGTCGTGAAAGAAGTCTTCAACAAGTTGCTTGGCTTGCAAAACCCTAATGAAGAGTCACCTGGTAAGCATTTTTTTAATACTGTCAACTATTTTTTATTAACTTACCAAAAATAATAAGTAAATAATCGAAATAAATTCTCTCTATTTTACAGTCTGTGAGATTTGTAAGTACATAACAGAATCTTTGAGATTTTTGATTCTATATTTTATACACTAATGTTTTTTTATTAAATTTTATTCAACAAGGTTGAGAGTATAGAAATTTTGAAACACTGTTTGAACTTTTGAAAATTGATTGCTTTTTATTGTTTACGGGAGAAGGCTGAAACATCGTCTTTTTAGTTGCTATTATCTTACACTAGCTGACCCTGCGAACTTTGTTCCGCCTTAATGGCAATAAATAAGCAGACTTTTTTTTTTCAATTTCGAACGAGATAATAAGTATCCTATGTCCTTCTCCTGGCTCTAAACTACCTCCTTGACAATTTTCAGCTAAATCGGTTCAGCCGTTCTTGAGTATAAGTGGAGTAACTAACACGACTTTCTTTTATATATATAGACTTATATAAATAATATAACGCTTGCAGTCGACCCAGTGGAACTGATGATCGCTCTCCACCTGATTGATCCGAGCAAAGCCGATCTGAAGTACATTATCAAGGCCACTGCCTTATGTTTCGGCGAGAAACAGACTTACACACAAGATGTAAGTATTTTCATATTTATAGAATACTATTATGCCATTATAATTAACCCTTTATGCTTCAAACTTTAGCATAAGGAGAAAAAATTCGTTTGGGAGTATTTTGTCACATTCTTCGTATGTCGCTCAGCCCTTAAGCAAAATTTGTAAAAGAGAATATAATCTGCATTTATTTAAGAGCGTTTACGCGAAGCGCGGCGTTTCAAGGGGCATCATTGGAAATGATTCGCGCGCGGCGTTTTTTAACAGTTTTCAAATGTTTATAGCAAAACAATAACAATGAATTGTATATCGTTTCAAAGTAAATATTTTAAAGAAGATGTTATTTTATTAAGAGCGTTGTCACATTTTTCATGCAGAAATCGAGAATTTGGCAGATTTCGAAATGATTTTAGTCATATAATTTATTGTTATATCTTCTTTTGACTTATATCATCGTAATTATCATACATTTTTACGGAATGTCTATTGACAAAATCTCGTTCAAATTGGATTTTTGCCTACGAAAACAGCGAATTTCGAAAGCCCGATTTCCAGGTAACTCGCGAAGGCACAACTTTGAACTAATATTACAACAAATTTATTTCTAAGTAAGAAGATAGAATGTATTCATTAGAATAAGCATACCCTGAAGAAGAAAGTGTATTGAGAAAATTTTGATGTTTAATTCATTAAAATGCATTTTTATCATGTCTAAGATAGTCAAAATTCGAGAAAATTACTGAAAAATTACGTCGAAACTAATAGACGTAGACTAATAAATTTACATTTGTTTTGTAGAATAGCTCAAATAATAATAATACAATGCAAATAAAACATACCTTGACGACCTGGTTTTTCTTGTGTTGGAAAATAACTGAAAAAGAAGTGAAAAAAATCATGTATTTTTCTAATTAAATCCATTCTTGCTCCCATAAAATGTATGAAACTTGTGTCTGTTTTCTACTTCTACTAATACATAATTTTATTGGCTATCGCATGATATAAAATATTTGCTTATTAATGTTAAGCTACCCACGCTTTCACTTGTTTTTGAAGGAAGAGGTGAAAACTAAAAATTAAAAACTTAAATCCTTGTAATTTTGCGATAAACGGGTCAAGACCCAAATTTGAAGTATTTTCGTCGATAAAATTGTCTATAGATTATGCCCTTAAAGTTTGATCACTACATGCCCGGACACACTGTATAGTCTGGTCGCCGAGCACGTAGAATTTTGTCCAATAACTCCAAGCTACCCATACTTATCGCTCGCGCGTAATAATATTGCTGTCGCGACTGTGCGACTGGCGCCCGCAGTAAGTGTGCGAGCGCGACAGCAACATAATTACGCGCGAGCGATAAGGATGGGTAGCTAGGGGTCATTGGACAAAATTCTACGTGCTCGGCGACCAGACTATATATCGATAAGCTAACCGATGACTAACTCGCAGACCGGGCTTTAGTTTTACTAGCGGCCGCCCGCGACTTCAAATTCCAATTCATTAATAATAAAATTTCACAGAAATAAACGTCTATTAGATGTTAGTACATAATCAATTTCGATACAGTGTATCTTGCCATCGTACGCGTGGATCCCGTTTTACCCCCTTAGGAGTTGAATTTTGCAAAATCCCGACTTAGTGAGCACTTACGTTCTAAAAGGAACCCCCATGCAAAATTTGAGACTCCTAGCACTTGTAGTTAGATGAGTGAGTGAGTCAATCAATGACCTTTATGTTTTATAGATATAGATCGATTTCTGGCGATAAGCCATTTGTCATCTAGAATTGACAATAATATTGACATTTAGTCCTTTACGAAGAGAATTAATAACGAATTATGCCGCTCGTGCTGAATTTCCTGCAGCTGCTGGTGGAGAAGGAGGTCAGTCATGTTGTCATCGGTTAGCTTAGCCTCAGCGCAGACCACAGACTTTTAGCTAGCCGATAGTTGAATCGGGCTGATTTAATCAGTATGGAGATTGAAGATGTATGAGAGTGCGCACATTACAAATTCAAATTCAAATTCATTTATTTGCACAGGAACATGGTACAATACAGATGTCAGATAAAAACAATCAGGTTCAACATGTTTCGTCTACAAGACATGCAAAAATTTCATAGTGAATTACTTAATAGTTTTATCAAATCATGCATTTTACATAATATTATAAATAATCCGTTTTTATTAGGCCATTTCATAATTTATAGTCAATAATAATAATAATAAATTTATAAATTTATAACACCGATTTGGTATCGGCCGATTCTTCATAAGAATTAAAATCGGGCCCAACTATCAGGCAACTAAAAGTCTGTGGTCTGCGCCTAGGCTTCGTCATCATCGGCTGTTATATCGTTTTATTTTTAGCGATTTCTGGTGAAAAGCCATTTGTTGTCTAGAATCTACAATAAGATTAAGATCCTAAGCTGGACCATTTAATCCTCAGAGAACCGAAGAAATAGTGCAACTAACTAGTACGCGATGAAGTTCAATTTAGTTAGCTCAGCACTAAAAATCTGCTGTTTAATCCGTCTTCAACGTGCTATCTCCTTCTATTGCCTAATTTCCTATTTCAACTATAAATTATCACTAAAACGGGATCTGGCAACAAAACACTTAAAATGGTAGTTGGTTCCCTACGTTTCGACGCTACAACTACGACAACCCACTAAAATTAATTGGGTGCGTGACAGTTTATATAAGTTTATATGATATAAATTCATTTCAATAACGTTCATATTGTATAATAAACGTATGTTATAATAACACTTGATATAATTTTTTAACATATAATGTTTACTTCATATAATGAATCATTTCTAATAATGTCCTTTCAGATACCAATCAAAACGCATAAAGACATTTAATATAAACCTTACTTAATCTAAGACTCATTTGATGTAATTTTGTTTAATATAAATAATATTTCATATAATCATTACATAAAATAAATATTATTTGTTATAACGACTATTTGGTATACTCTTTAATTGATATAATTTCTGATAGCTATAACTTTTAGTATGTTCTTCTTTAACTTGACTTATAAATGACGTTAGTGACAAAAACGAATCGCCGTAAAACCGACTCCACGTAGTCTTGTCTGCCCTACCCCTAGAGTGTAATTTAGAAGCGCGTAGGCACGGAGGGGCGAGGCGGCCCGCGGGCTGAGGAGCAGGTGGCTGGAAGCGAGGCGCCGCGGCTGAGGCTGGCCGGCGAAGCCGGCCAGCAAGCCGAAGACGCGGTGTCGAGCGAAAGCCATCTGCGACGATTAGCACGCGAGGGACCGCCAGAGCCCCGCAGTGCCGGAGCCGTGACAGAAGTCTCAAGTTTTTAGTCAAATTTGCATGCCTGCTTGCTTGCTTGCTTGCCTGCTTGCATGCTGCATGCCTGCTTGCTTGCATGCTTGTCTGCTTGCTTGCTTGCTGGCCTGCTTGCTTGCTTGCTTGCTTGCCTGTTTGCTTGCCTGCTTGCTTGCTTGCTTGCTTGCTTGCTTGCCTGCTTGCTAGCTTGCTTGCTAGCTTGCTTGCCTGCTTCTTGCCTGCATGCTCGTTTGCTAGCTTGCTTGCTGCATGCAATGCTTATTATAAGAATTGAACTTCATATAAAATTATTATTTTTTTTATATGATTTAAGTTTTATAGGAAAAGAATTTTATCTCATTTGATTGTTAGACATTTTATTTTTATATGATTTGAATGTTATTTGTTTTAAATAGTATACATTGTAAGTTTTATAGAAAATATTCATTATATCAAACCATTTTATATCAGTTAATAGTTATTTGTCTTAAAATTATTCGTTTTAAAATTATATTATTCGTTTATTATAGTAAATAATTATTATATTAAACGATTTTATATAATTTGATGTTATATCCTCTAAGTATTATATGATATGTAGTTATATCATACATTACACACCCAAACTAATTAACCCACTGCCATAATTCCACCTGGGAGATGTATTGGCCAAACGCTTCTATGGTCTTTTATCTAAAAATATACTGCAGTCTCGTTTTGATAAATAAAAAAAATTCGCGCTGTTCGCTCAACGATTCACGACAACGCGGAACTCATGAGCAATAATAAGTTTGTTTTTGGTAAAACATGACTTGAACTCGTTCTAATATTACTGTTTTTGGTAAAAATTGACTTGAACTCGTTCTAATATTACTGTTTTTGGTAAAAATTGACTTGAACTCGTTCTAATATTACTGTTTTTGGTAAAAAGTGACTTAAACTCGTTCTAATATTACTGTTTTTGGTAAAAATTGACTTGAACTCGTTCTAATATTACTGTTTTTGGTAAAAAGTGACTTGAACTCGCTCTAATATTACCGCTCGGTATTCCAGGTGTGGCTGAACAAAGTGGCGTGGGAGGGCTGGGTGAAGTGCTGCGAGCGTTTACTGCCGCAAGCGTGCTTCTTGTTAGTGTCGCTGCCGGCGCGCGCGCTGCAGGCCGCGTCGCCCGCGCTATTGGCCGCGTTACGCGCACACGCGGCGGGCCTGTCGCCGGCCGAGCGCGCGTTATTGCCGCCGCATGTTGCGAGGTTGGAGGTAAGCACGACCATCGGTGGTCCCTCACCACCACAAACAACACAGTGACGAGACAGTGGCGTGAGACTACTCAGAAGGCTGAGCGAAGTGTTGCAAGCATCTGCTTCCTCAAGCATGCTTTCACAAGCGTGCTTTCTCAAGCGTGCTTTTTCAAGCATGCTCCCACACTCCTGCTGCCGCAAGCGTGCTTCTTGTTAGTGTCGCTGCCGGCGCGCGCGCTGCAGGCCGCGTCGCCCGCGCTACTGGCCGCGTTACGCGCTCACGCTGCGGGCCTGTCGCCGGCCGAGCGCGCGTTATTGCCGCCGCATGTTGCGAGGTTGGAGGTAAGCACGACAGTAATGGGAGACCACTCAGTGACATGGGAGGGTTGAGCGAAGTGTTGCGAGCATCTGCTTCCTCAAGCGTGCTTTCTCAAGCATTCTTTCACAAGCGTGCTTTCTCAAGCATGCTTTCACATGCGTGCTTCCACACTCCTGCTGCCGCAAGCGTGCTTCTTACTGGTATCGCTGCCGGCGCGCGCGCTGCAGGGCGCGTTGCGCGCGCACGCTGCGGGCCTGTCGCCAGCAGAGCGGGCGCTACTGTCGCCTCATGTTGCCAGGTTGGAGGTAAGCACGACCACCCCATCATCACAGACACTCTCCCACCATAGACAACTGAGTGACGTGGGCGTGAGAAACTACTCAGCTACGTGGAAGATCACTCAATAGCATGGGAGATCACTCAGTGGCGTGGGAGGGCTGGGTGAAGTGCTGCGAGCGTCTACTGCCGCAAGCCTGCTTCTTACTAGTGTCGCTGCCGGCGCGCGCGCTGCAGGCCGCGTCGTCCGCGCTATTAGCAGCGTTGCGCGCGCACGCTGCGGGCCTGTCGCCGGCCGAGCGGGCGTTATTGCCGCCTCACGTGGCACGATTAGAGGTAAACACAATCATGTGTTGCGAGCGTCTGCTTCCTCAAGCATGCTTTCACAAGCGTGCTTCCTCAAGCATGCTGCCGCAAGCGTGCTTCTTGTTAGTGTCGCTGCCGGCGCGCGCGCTGCAGGCCGCGTCGCCCGCGCTATTAGCAGCGTTGCGCGCGCACGCGGCGGGCCTGTCGCCGGCCGAGCGCGCGTTATTGCCGCCGCATGTTGCCAGGTTGGAGGTAAGCACGACAGTAATGGGAGACCACTCAGTGACGTGGGAGGGCAAACGAAGTGTTGCAAGCATCTGCTTCCTCAAGCATACTTTTACAAGCCTGCTTTCTCAAGCATGCTGCCGCAAGCGTGCTTCTTACTGGTGTCGCTGCCGGTGGGCGCGCTGCTCGCCGCCTTGCGCGCGCACGCTGCGGGCCTGTCGCCGGCCGAACGGGCGTTATTGCCGCCGCATGTTGCGAGGTTGGAGGTAAGCACGCCCATCATAGACAGGAGAAACCACTCAGTCACGTGAGAGGGCTGAGCGAAGTGTTGCGAGCATCTGCTTCCTCAAGCATGCTTTCACAAGCGTGCTTTCTCAAGCGTGCTGCCGCAAGCGTGCTTCTTGTTAGTGTCGCTGCCAGCGCGCGCTCTGCAAGCCGCGTCGCCCGCGCTATTGGCCGCGTTACGCTCGCACGCTGCGGGCCTGTCGCCGGCCGAGCGCGCGTTATTGCCGCCGCATGTTGCGAGGTTGGAGGTAAGCACGACAGTAATGGGAGACCACTCAGTGACGTGAGAGGGCAAACAAATTGTTGCGAGCATCTGCTTCCTCAAGCATGCTTTACAAGCGTGCTTTCTCAAGCGTGCTTCCTCAAGCATGCTGCCGCAAGCGTGCTTCTTGTTAGTGTCGCTGCCGGCGCGCGCGCTGCAGGCCGCCTTGCGCGCGCACGCTACGGGCCTGTCGCCGGCCGAGCGCGCGTTATTGCCGCCGCATGTTGCCAGGTTGGAGGTAAGCACGACAGTAATGGGAGACCACTCAGTGACATGGGAGGGCTGAGCGAAGTGTGGCGAGCATCTGCTTGCTCAAGCATGCTTTCACAAGCGTGCTTTCTCAAGCATGCTTTTACAAGCGTGCTTCCACACTCCTGCTGCCGCAAGCCTGCTTCTTGTTAGTGTCGCTGCCGGCGCGCGCGCTGCAGGCCGCGTCACCCGCGCTATTAGCAGCGTTGCGCGCGCACGCGGCGGGCCTGTCGCCGGCCGAGCGGGCGCTACTGCCGCCGCATGTTGCGAGGTTGGAGGTAAGCACGACATTAATGGGTTATTATGCTTTCATAAGCGTGCTTCCTAAAGCATGCTGCCGCAAGCCTGCTTGTTAGTGTCGCTGCCGGCGCGCGCGCTGCAGGCCGCGTCGCCCGCGCTACTCGCCGCGTTACGCGCACACGCGGCGGGCCTGTCGCCGGCCGAGCGCGCGTTATTGCCGCCGCATGTTGCGAGGTTGGAGGTAAGCACGACAGTAATGGGAGACCACTCAGTAACGTGGGAGGGCTGAGCGAAGTGTTGCGAGCATCTGCTTGCTCAAGCATGCTTTCACAAGCGTGCTTTCTCAAGCGTGCTTCTTCAAGCATGCTGCCGCAAGCGTGCTTCTTACTGGTGTCGCTGCCGCACTATGGAGCGAAATTGAGATTTATGGACATAGCGATTTTTTTCACAATTTCTATTTGAAAAAAATACCTATCGATAGGTTACGTTATTCTGATGAATAAATGCTTCACAAGTTTTTCTCTAAAACCAATAGTTTGACTGGAAAAAAATATTTTCCATTTTCGTTGTATGGAATGAAACATAAAGTGGTCGATTTCGACTAAGCCTTGANTGCGCGCCGATAAGCGGTAATCACGCCGTTTTATCGATTTTGCCCATACATTTTGACGTCGATAAAAGTTATCACGGCGCGCATCTTAGGCCTGCCGAGTATTTTTTGTATTTTTTTAGTATCGCCTGTTATTTAGCATTATTACTGTTTTTATTTTATCATGATATACCTCTTAGTGTAAAAGTTATTACGTTTTCTTTACAATAAGTAATCGGAAGGAAAAAAATTCTATAAAAAAAAACCCTCTAAACATTTTTGACCTCTTTTTTGTCGATAAAAATAGGTTTAGTTTCACCTATTTTCATATGTGTACTTTATCGTGACTGACACACTGTATAAAGAAAGTATGCTAAATGAGTAACGCAAAACAATAAGCGAAGTGAGAAAAGAAAAGAGACTTTTGAACGAGGTTCTTTAGTAATAAAGTAATAAGTTAAAATTTTATTTATATTTTTCTTGCAATAAACTTTCATGTGTACTATCACTCCAGAGATGGGCGTTGTTTTACAAAACCACACCCTGTATACATGGGTAGAACGCAGCCGTAGGAAACTGCTCGTGTATATTTTGTAATACTCTTCGTAAATCTGCGACTACAGTACAAAGTAGACACGAATTTTGCGTACTGAATACAGTCGTGTTTAATTTTTATTGTGGATGCTCGCTTCTCCGTTTCAAACTATACCTACTACACCACTTACACTTGACAAGAGTGTGAAAAAGTTAGTTTGATACTTATTCAGTAAAATATGGAATTAGATTTAAGAGTATTTTTATTTCTTATTACTTGAATATATTTTATCGAATCAATATAAAACTAGATTTTTAACACTCTTGCGGGTAAGTGGTTTTTCAAAATAAACTGATTAGGTAGGATTAAATAAATAAATCGATAACATTTTTTTTTAGAGTAGTAGGTACGCAGTATTTGCGTAACTGCTCATATAGTTTGGAAGAGTTTAGTAAAAAAAAGTTATTTACAAACTATACTCGATTAGTTTCACACCCTTGCGTTCTGGCCATGTATAGAATGGAAAGACGCTACGTTAACAGCCTATTTGAATTGAACGTCTAGGAAAAATACTCTTTTACGAAACTTTTTTAACGCCTTTGTTCATCAGAAGAATCAATATTAGTTAGGATTTTTATTGTGTAAGAATTTTCGCAGCAATACCAACAAAAAATCAAATCCTTCCTTTTTCCTAATTAAAGTATTATAAACTCACGTTTTGTTTAGCAAAATTAGTGAAATGCGTGTTTTTACTCTGTATTGAGTCTCTTTTGTCTCTACTCTGTAAAGTAGTTTGTGTGCGATCGTGTTAGTTCGTTGCGCCACCGCTATCTCGGCTAGCAAATCGTAATTTTTCGTCGGCGCTGCACCCCCTTAAGTAGTTTCAAAGCAAGATCTGTCAAGGCTTAGTCGAAATCGACCACTTTATGTTTCATTCCATACAAAGAAAATGGAAAATATTTTTTTCCAGTCAAACTATTGGTTTTAGAGAAAAACTGGTGAAGCATGTATTCATCAGAATAACGTAACCTATCGATAGGTATTTTTTTCAAATAGAAATTGTGAAAAAAATCGCTATGTCCATAAATCTCAATTTCGCTCCATAGTGTGCCGGCGCGCACGCTGCAGGCCTATCGCCGGCCGAGCGCGCGTTACTGCCGCCTCATGTTGCGAGGTTGGAGGTAAGTAGGGTTACCCCCGTCAGGGATCTCCCCTAACTGCTGGCCCAACAGTATCTTCAACTTTCTTTAACAACATTATTTATATTATCCCCCTCATCAGGTAGATCTGTCGTAATCAAGTATAAAAGGAGAAGATTATAATTAAATTCTAGATTGTAGATGTTGAATTTGGTAAGCAAATATTCCTTTTTCCCAACCGGACATACCGAAATTTATAACACTGTGGCTCGTTGGGAAAAAACCCATCAGATCCTGTTATTCGTTACGACATCTGTTTACTTACCTACCGATCAAACTGTAGCCGGTATTTTCTGACAGTTTTCAGTATTAAAATAAATGTTATTTGTTTTCAGACGCCAGAACCGCAGTACACGCCACCGCCTGTGCCCAATCCATTGGAGCCGCTGCCACCCGGCATGGAGTGACGAAAGGCCTTCACGATACTTACAAACTGACTCCTTACACGAAATCCACTGTTTATGCTTATACTTAATACAACAGTAATACAATAATTATGGCATATCCTGCAGGCAGGTCGTGAAATTGCCCCATATTTTTATCCATTGTTCAAGTTTTATTAATGTTCTTTTAACATTATAAGTTACTTTCAATATACCTTATTTTTATTACTAGGTTGATTAAATTTCGTTTTTTATCTACTTGCATACTTTTAAAATCCTGAATCAAAGAATACATATTACCACAGGTTATAATAATGCCACAATCAATGATAGTGTCTTTCTGTATTCTTTGCTATGACATGTAGGTAGATATGTAGTAGAACGCAAGCTTACTTTATTCAAAACTCGTATATGTATTTAGAAAAGTACAAGGCAAATAAAGACATGTTATCGACTTGAACTCGCATCAAGTGTTAAATGTAAAAGAAATTTCTAAGATGTGCAAATTATGAAATTAAATAGTTCAAATTCCATGAAATTATGAGTAGTAAAATTCTAGAACATTCAACGTTTACATATTTATTGTTACTGGTTTAATCTTAATATTATGCTGTTACTTAAAACGAATATGTTTTGTTTTCCTACGGAAGACTGTACATTAAACTAAATGTTGGTCTCATAAGCAGTGGTATAGCCTGACCAGGAACATAAAAACCCTCGCCATGTTGCGGAAAACTAATGGTACTAATTTCTTTTAATGGCAACAGTAACTGAAAACTTCATTGACATGTCACCTTGCATGTCAGTCTATTGCTGTCAAAGTATAAACAAACTTTATTTTAAATGTGCGCAATTGATTTTGTGAATTAAATTGCTAAAATCTTTTTATAGTCGTGAAAGAAAAGTGGTTCACAATGTGTTAAAGTATTTGTCGAAGAGAAATACTAAGGGTTCGGACAATATTTTCATTGAATAATGTTTCCGACAAAGGTTGTCAAATTGACTGACATGTTTATCGTATAGTACAGTCCACTATGAAAATTAGCTGTGGTTTGTTTCAACTACCTATTTTAAAGTTTTTTATCACTTTCTAAGTGTTGAATTTTATGGAATTGGGAAAGAAGTACCGAATTTGAAGCGTTCATGAGCAGACATTGCAGTTGAATATTCAAGTTCTGAATTTGATTATTGATGAATAATAAAATAAATCCTTCTAACTCGATTGACGGTTTCATTTAATTTATTTAAACCAGGTTACCTATAATAATATTTTTTCGTTAATTTATGAAAATATCAAATTAGCCCGTAATCCTGAATCCTGATACATAAAGTTAGCCTATTAATTTAACACAGGTACGACTGTACTCAGTGTTGCACTATCAAATGCAATTGACGCGCCTCCATGCCAGGGTTTTTATGTTCCTGGTCAGGCTATAATAAGTTAAATTTTAGGGCGTCTTCAAATTGGAGGCGTAACGAAGCGCTCATAGTGGCGCCATACAATTTCTAAAGGCGCAACAACCGCGTGTCTGTGACGGCACAGTGGTGTCACATTGGTAGGGGCGCTGCAACTGCGCTGGTAGAAATTATTGTATGAAAACTATCAGTGGTGTTACTGCAGCGCTTCCTCACGCCTCTAATTTAAAGACGGAGCGCCTTACAAACAAAATAAGATGTGCTGGCGACAGCACTTATAGAGGTCAACTAAATGTAGCGACATAAAAATAAATGGAGTGTTCTATGATGAATCGATATAAATGTCAGAAAAGTAAAAAAGATAGCAAAACAAGTTTGTAAATAGAACATGGTTATTATTTTCTTATTAATATGTTTAAGAAATAAATAATTTAAGTATGTAATATCAGTGTTTCATTCTTAAACTACAGTATGATAAGTAAAACGGCTATAGTTGCTGAAAGTAAATTAATTTAATGTAAAAGAAATATAGTTTTGAACTAATATTTAAAGCTTACTAAGACTTAATCTTATCTGTGCCCTTAAAATCACGTTTTAATGAGTATATTTCACTTAAACTTAAAACTTTCTGTTTTAGGCGAGATTGCTTTTAGAATGTTTTCGACACTGTATGGTGCATCTGAAACAAACAGAAAAATTATTACTACATAAGTGACATTCCTTAGGGGTGCTTATTTAACGAGATTACGAGAGCATTCCCGTGAACTATTGAATGTAAGATTTTTTTATCGAATCGATAAATACATAGTATCAGGTCCAATCGAATATTCCCAGTGAATTAGAGTATTTGTCAATTAAGTATGTAGTTGAGGTACAATTTTATTCTTGAAGTTCAATCCATAGCTGAACAGTTTTTTTTACTTTGGGACAATAAATGTCATCGAAAAGGTACCTATATCAAAAAGTAATTTCTCCAGCGGTCCACTATCACAATAGTATTAATTTGCTATGATGCTATTTCATCGATTAACTGTGGTGAATTAACTGGTTGACCAAATTAAAAAGCTATTTAACCAAAACCTCTTAACTTCGACATTCATTTATTTAACTGCTGTTTTTTTATGTTATTGATTAATATACTGACCAACGTCTAACCACTCCGTGTCTGCGTAGCCGAACTCCTTCCTAGCGCTGACAATAGCGTCATGCAGCGCGAGGGGGACCGTCACCGCTAGCGTCAGCGCGGGCTCTCCCGTTGCTGAAAGTTTACAAAAGTATTTATTATTTTTCAACCGACTTCAAAAAAGGAGGAGGTTCTCAATTCGACCCGTATGTTTTTTTTTCTATGTTTGTTACGCGATAACTCCGCCAATTATGAACCGATTTGAACAAATCTTTTTTCGGCGTATAGGTAATACCTCAAGGGTGGTCCCATTTAAATTTAATAATAGAAAAAACAACCCCTAAGGGCGGAAAATTGGGGATGAACTTTTTTATACGCAATATCTCCGCCGATTATAAATCAATTTGAACGATTATTTTTTTGTTGAATAGGTATTATCAAAAGGGTGGTTTCATGCGAATTTGAAGAAAATATTTCACCCCCAAGGGTGGAAAATTGGGGATGAACTTTTTTTAAATACGCAATATTTTTAACTTTTAGTTTTTTTTTTGTGTTCACGCATTTGAAGTCGGTTTTATTTTTTTTTAAAGTTAATTATTCACATTATCCACCTCATACGAATATGATTTACACCATTGATGTATGCTCAATGATTTACACACATAAAGCGTAAAAATCAACATTATTTATTACTATTATATTCACATATTTTATCCCGTTATACATTTTTTTATACGGAATCAATAAAATAAATTGATTTTACAGTCATTTCAAATTTCGCTCCAAAAACGATAACGCTAAAAACACCGAAATGTCAGACCATAAAGATTGGGGGCGTTTAGCCGAAAATAGAATTTGTTGCAAATTGTAAGCAAAATGGCGATCGCCATTGCAACCGCGTAAACTTTAGCGTGTTTTCGGTTCGGCAAGGACACACTTCAATCACGGTACTTCAATAGTGACGTTTTCCCATACATTTTTTAGCAGTGATAGCACTTACCGCTAAACGAACGCCATTTTTCTTATTAGCGCTAACAATTATATTTTCGGCTAAATGCCCCCATTGATCGACGCGAATTCTATTTTGTGATGAACACTCACTGATAAAAACAAAAACATCAATAAATTATGTCACGTGACTAGTGACCATTTTGATGTCATACTCAGTGGTGCCAGATTAGGCGAATTATCGCCATTTAGGCTACCTCTGGGGGTCAAATGGCGACCAAAAAATGCAAACGGCTACCGGTAGCCATTTAGGCTACCTAGAAAATAAGATCGGGCTATTTAGGCTACTTCAGGATTACCTTGGAAAAATAAATCCTAACCTAGTATTCTGTAATTCAGTTAGTTTTTTAAAATGACCCCTACCCCCTTTACTACTCCATGAAAGTCCGAACTCTATACTAAATCCGTAATTTTTTTTCTAAGTGTCAGCTCCATACAAATTACGTTCGAAAATTCGGTTATTTGGCTAAGTCCTGCACCCCCTTTGCTACACCCTAACCGTACATAAATAATAATGATCAAAATCTGTTTACTTTACACATTACCGGTGGGCCAGCTGGACGTATTCTATACAATGCCTAGGAATTACATACACCTGCCTAGGTAAAGTATTTATTGAACAATAATATTTTATACATTGCCTACGCGCCCCAGGCATTGATTTTACACATTTACTAGGGATTGTATAGAATCCCTAAATAATACAAATTGCCGCTACACATAACATTCCGCACACACTTACACAATATAAATACACGATTTAAGAAAACAACATGGCCGCAATATAGGAAATGACAGGTTTTGTGTGTGTGTGTGTGTGTGTGTGTGTGTGTGTGTGTGTGTGTGTGTTTTGTGTAGTTGTCAGCTGATTGCCTATATTGCGGCCATGTTGATTTCTTAAATACAATTGTATGTACTCGGCACAAGTCAGGTAGTTAGTGACGTCACAAAAATGTTGCCAGAGTAGTTGAGTAGGCTAACCAAACATTATATATCTCTTTTTCATACGTTACCATGGGTAAGTTAGAAAGAGATAAACAGCTGTTTGTCATTAATGTGTCGATTTGATATGTATTTTTGTATAATTACCTCAAAATGTTAGGCGAATTAGGCTACTTCAGGAAAAAAAAATATTAGGCGATTTAGGCTACTCGGTAGGAAAAATTAGGCGAATTGAGTTAGCTGATATCTGGCAACCCTGGTCATACTTAGTTAGTATGATACTTAGAGCAAACCAACACAATCGTGTTCTTCTGAAGTGATTTGTAGATTTCTTGAATTAAAAGATGAATTCTATGTTCTACAAGTCTTGTGCGGTGCCTGATTGTGCAAGTACTACAATAAAAACGCCGGAAAAGTTGTTTATTCACGTTCCACGCACCGAGAAACGCAGGATAATGTGGCTTCAGCTTGCCAAAAGGGATCCAAAGCATGTTCCTCCACAATCTAAATTGTACTTTTGTGAAGATCATTTTAATGTAAGTTATTCATCATTTTTTTCATTAACATTAACTGTTTTAATTAATAAAATAAATTAAAACAGTAATTATTTTGTAGCCGGGTGTGGTGTCAAGGATTTTTTTATCGTTAAATGGACAAACAATTATCTTGTTTATAAAAAATAATTTATTTATTAAAGTACATTTATTATGCCCTTTGAATCAATGAAGAGCTAGGTCTATATGTATTGTAAATGCATAGCTGGGCACCTTTAATCAAATAGTTAACTTCGTTAATCGTTAAACCGTTAACAAAAAAAATAACTTCGTTAAACGTTAAAACGTTACATTTAGCAAGATTTAACGCAAGTTAACGTTAATCGTTAATCCGTTAACACATTATAATAAAACGTAAAAAATAATTGTATGCATGGTTCAAATAATTTCGAAAGATTGTATCGCGCATGGAATTTATTCCTCTTTTATGTTTGCGCTACAAGCTTTTGAAATTATTTGAACCTTGCATACAATTTTTTTTCATTTTAGTAACAACGGCATTTCAGAATAAAAACTTGTTTTTAAAAAAAATATATTACTATAATTTTATTTTACACTTTTTAGTAGTAGACTAAGAGCTAGTGAACGCCAGACCTACGACATTTTATAAAAGCTGAAAGTTTGTCAGCGTATGCTGCCAATATAGGGTAGAATGTTGGTGAATCATGAAGTTTGGGTCATCGTGACTTTGGCAGTTATTTCCAAAAATTTGCTTGCTACACCTGGGAATCGAACCAACTAAAATCTGTTAAAAGTTACACCCTGTATTTTAATTGCATCAATCGTTAGGGTTAAGTATAAGGATGAAATCTCTCTAACAAACTTGATAAATCAAATGAAAGGAAAACCATGAAATCTTAAATTATCTTAATTATTTCAGGAAATTGTACGATTTTCGAAAAAAAATTCGAAAATCTATTAATGCAATTCTCTTTCTTTTCAAAAATAAAGGAATGTTTTCTTTCAGTAAAATTTTCTATCTACAGTATTAAGAGTACTTTCCCTCCAGGTGGCATTACAAAATTCCACCCTGTATATGGAGTATAGGACAGGTCCCAGCACTGATCCTTGCGGTACTGAGGCTCTGATTTCACACAGCTTAGAGAATTCTTCTTCATATTTTACTTGAAACCTTCTTTGTTCCAGGTAGGATTTTAGGATCATGTAGATTGAGTTCGGTAGTAGGGTTTTTAGTTTGTATAGTAGACCCTTGTGCCAAACTTTGTCGAATGCCTGTTGTATGTCTAGGAATACAGCAGAGCAGTATTCTTTTTTCTCAAGTGATTGCCTGATTGGACCACTCTGTGCACTTGCTCAACAGTAGCATGTTTCTCCCAAACCCAAACTGGTGATCCGGTATGATCCTATTTACTAAGGCACCCCCTACCCCCCAGCACCCCCCGTATCATGAAATAGACCGCAGACTTGTCATGCAGATGAGCTAATCAGTACTAATTTGCGCGACTTGTGTCACCCCCTGAGGCTTGGCACCCGGGGCGGACCGACCGACAACTTAGATAAGATTGGAAGTAGACTTATCGGTCTATATGAACTGGGTTCAGTTGGAGGTTTTCCTGGCTTCGCAATCATGCATATGGTAGATATCTTCCAGACTTCCTACTTACGATATACCATAAAATCAGATTTTTATGTATAATATTTGGGCAATGATTAGAAGTTGTTTCGACATCAGCCACACAGTTTTGACAGTTCCAACTCCTTTCCAGACAGGTTTTTTAGGATAGCTGCCAAAGCCACGATGACCCAAACTTCATAATCCACCAACATTCTAAGCTATATTGGGAGCATACGCTGACAAACTTTCAGCTTTTATAAAACGACGTAGGTCTGGTGTTCACCAGCTCTTAGTCTATAATATCTCAATTTCAGAGCAATTACAATACAATTAAGCACCAAAGTGCTCGAAAAGACAAATCCAACAAACCCAAACTCGATAAGTTTCCACCGTTTCGTTTAGGAATTCCTATGGCCACCTCCTGACTCCATCATCAAGACCCTGGATATCTTCTAGTACTAAAGTGCTCGAAAAGACAAATCCAACGAACCCAAATTCGATGCGATTCCGCCGTTTCATTTAGGAGTTCCAATGGCCACCTACTGACTCCATCATCAGACCAGCTTAATGGTACCATAACATTGCATTTTCATCGTACTTACATAATTATACCAAACAGTTCAATTGGTTGAGGAGAACTGGTCTTAAATTCAGTTGCAAGATTTGTCCCACACATACTAACAAGTGAAGTCAATATAAAACTTGTAAATAAATAAAAAAATTGCATATTTTATATCGTTTCGTTCTGGTTACAAAAACTGTTGTTTTGAGTTCTGGAAGTTCTGGAAGCCCAAACGTACTTGTCAAAACGCGTTTTTCAAGTGTTTTTCAGCGTGCCTGCTGTATCTTTTTGGTAAATAGTAGGTACTGGATTAACGATTAACGGACTTAGGATAATTTAACGGAAGTTAACGAGTCCGTTAACAATTTTTAAAGTTACTTACAACTTACAACTTAAAAGTTAATCCGTTAATAGAAATGTTAACTTCGTTTAACGATTAACGGATTAACTAGTTAATGCCCAGCTATGTGTAAATGCATTGTGTGCCTGTGGAATGGCAAGTATTTGTTACAAGGAGATTAGAAGTAAGTACACAAAAATTAATAATGTTTTGTAACTTATTTTAGTTGCCACGTGATATGGAGAATTATTCTGAATATCGTTCGATGGGTGCAGTGTCACAGATCCGAATGAGAGCGGGTTGTGTGCCATCGAAATTTGCGACGCGAATAATGAGAAACAAAAGCACCATTACACCCAAAAAGGAAAAAACAAAACAAGAATGGGAACAAAATTTAATAGATATTTTGTCAAAACCCAAAAAAAAGATAGTATTTAATGATGGTAAGTTGGTTGTAAAACGTAACTTGAACAGAAACTAGTGTTAACATTTACATTTGATCAGATTAGCTCTATTTTTATTCTGCTATAATGTTATATTGTATAAAATATGACGTGTTAAGTATGTTAACATGAAAACCTAATAAAAAATATTATTCCTTTCAGAGAACCTTGCATCATTCAAACAATTAATCAATCAAACACAAAACCAAAAATTACGAGAATGTCTTGCACGTATTTTGTTCCAAGACAAAAGTACACAGACTGATTTTCCGGAAATAAAGGAAGAAGAACAGTCATATGAGACTCAAACAAATACTGTATCATCAAGTCAAAACAGTAGCCCAAATGTACAAGGGTTCAATCAAGAATTGGACATCAAAAAAGAAATTAAAGATGAGCCGTTTGATAATGATGCATCATTCCACACACCACCTGAGACTCGCTCGACCTTCCCATCATCATCTACAGAAATGCAATGGTCAGAGAACAACGGTCAACAAAAATACGTCATTAAAATTAAACAAGCAGTTGGAATGGACACGGATAAAGTCGTAATTAATATTTCACAAGAAATAGAAATGAAATAAATTTAAGAATATACTATGTACTTACTTTATAAAGCCAACATTATATTTATGGCTTTAAAACGTATATGTTAGAAATATTGAGTGTTATATTGAAGTAAGCTAATTTTTTTCAAAAACACCTTTTAATGTAAAGAACTGTTCAATTCTATACAACTTTGAGGTGACTTAAAAGTGTAAAACTATCCGCCTATTTTGAAAACTGCAGTCACTACAAGCACCAGCCCTTGCAAGTAAAAATGGAACTCAATCCATCTTGAGAATAGGAAGTTCCAAAATGACAACTATAAGAGAGGAAGCTTTGAAGTAAAATGTAAACTGATGTGGTAAATGTGAATGTGCCCATAAAACAGTTGATTCGCTTCTATTTTCTGTGTGTTATTTTGCAACTGGTGAATTATGTATATGTATTCTTATTTACGCTAAGCTTATTTAGAGTGGAATTTAAAACTATATAATCTCATTAGATATTTATATTTATTGTATTTGTAATACTTAGCGATAGTATGAATGATCTCGTTTATTGTAATACATAGTGATAGTATAATGATCTCTTTTAATACATAGTGATAGTGATTAAATGAGTTTTATTTTGTACAATTATCCCAGTTCTTTTAATTAGGCAGATTATATGTCTGGTGCTTTGCTCAGTCAATGCCTGAAGTATGACGTGACAGAGCATACAAATCAGCCCCCTTAGACAAAACGCACTTTTTGATCGAATCGAAAATCGAATCAGTCAAAACTCCATACAAAAAAGGGGCTTTTCGACCATTTTTCGACTGGTTTGCGATTATAATTTGCACTTTGTCTAGACCCACAGAGGTAGAATTGTGTAAAGCAATCGTAATCATTTGACAGTTCATAACGTACGATTATTCTGTCAAACGCTTTGTTTATCTGACTTAATCGTACGTTATGAACTGTCAAATGATTACGATTGCTTTACACAATTCCACCCATGAGGTCTCGCTGACGTTTGACCGGCATAAATCATCAGGCATTGAGTGATTAAGCGCTTGACCTATAGTAAGTAAATAGTTTTTTGGAGGCTGAATAAAAGACAGGGATATATGCACCCTGGTTTTTAAAGAACTATTTATCTAAACATTTAGATTTAGATCTCCATTACTATGGAATGATCATCCTAGCTTCTTATGATTGCTCATTAGTGTTAATAAATTAATCAGTTTCTAACGACAGAAGTAATAATCATGAATTCAGATCAATGTTTGTAATTATTATCAAAATTCATCAAAAATGGTAAAGTTGTGAAACTGCAACACAGATTCTCATTCTACATTAAATATGTAAATACTAGCTGTGCCCGCGACTTCGTACGCGTGAAAACCCGTTTTCGCAACATTTTTCATATTGCTGTGCTCCTATTGATCGTAGCGTGATGTTGTATAGCCTATAGCCTTCCTCGATAAATGGGCAGATGTTATGATGTAGGCTAATAAAGGATTTTACGAAACTCCACCCCTAAGGGGGTAAGACGGGATCCACGCGTACGATTTCGCGGGCGGCCGCTAGTTTGATCATAATCAACTCACCTTTCGACCTCAGGATCCCGGCAGTATTGATGGAGTTCTTCTGGAAGGCCACTCTGAAGTCGACCGGGATGTCTTTGGCACCTGGCGGGTGGTAGGTCCAGGTTCGGTCTGTGAGAAGACGGCCCGATGATGGTTCATAAGCCAGCTGCTCACTCGTCCATAAACCGAGTCCCATTATGAACGCGCCCTCGATCTAAAGAAAGTTACACATGTGAGTTGGTGAAGAAGTGACGTCATGATGTTGAGACGTTGAGAATTACTAAGTTTATTTATGAAAGAAACGCGTATAAGCAGCTTATAAAAAATACGTTAATTTATAGTTCTTGCAATAGGGTACTATTACAGTAGAACGCCGATTATCCGAATCGGTCCTAAGCGTAATATAAAAAATTAAAACAAAGTCATTTTTGATTTGTTTTGTTGGGACTCAGATATATTTCAACTGAGCGTTATTGTAGCAGTTCTACAATAACGTACAGTAGAAATATTATCTGTTTTTTAAACTTATTAAAGTTTAATCTATGTGTGACAGATCGTTTTTCTCTATTACCAGTCTATTTCCGACTATCCGAATCAACCCCAGTCCCAATTAATTCGGATAATCGGCGTTCTACTGTACATATGTATTTAATTTTTAATAGATTTCCTTCATTTTACATCTACCCATGTCTATAAATACGAAATCAGATTTGGGTTTCAAGAGTTCTTCACTTTACCTATCTCACATCAAAGTTGGAGCTGATGCTGACGCCGGCAGACGCCCACGTACTCAATCAAGTCAACGCGCCCGTATCCCGTCAGAAAGTCAAGTTCATGGATGCTATAGCCTGTAGCGGGCTCGTCATGTAATCCGCTTGAGGTTTAGGTACACCTGGAGATGCCATATTCAAGAGATGTCCTCCACATTACCTGTCCCACATCGATATCAGGGCTGATGCTGACGCCCACGTCCTCAACCGAAGTCCACGCGCGTAACGGAGTGCTGACCCGTTAACACGTCGCACGTGCACGCGCCGTGGATGCTATAGCCGGCTCATCACGTCACGCTTGGNCTAAATGTGAAATTTCATTAAATTCGTTTTAGTAGGTCAGAAGATATGACCCAAAAATATGGTTCTGGCCACTAAAATGGCTCTCCTGTAAAATTTACTTTTTTCACTTACGCCAGTATACGTAGGAGCCATCGATCTGGAGAAGCAATTTTGAAGAGTTGTCCAAATTACCTGTCCCACATCGATATCAGGGCTGATGCTGACGCCCACATCTTCTATCAAGTCCACGCGCGTGACGGCGTGCTGTCCCGTTAGCACGTCTAGTTCTACCTCGCACGCGCACGCGCCGTGGATGCTACAGCCGGCTCGTCACGTACGAATAACGCTTGGAGGTTCAACGGAGATGCCTTTTTCAAGAGTTCTCTTCTAATTTACCTGTCCCACATCGATATCGTCCACGTCCTTTATAAAGTCCACGCGAGTGACGTCGAGTTCTGGTTCGCACGCGCACGTGCCGTGGTCACTATAGCGGGCTCGTCCCTTCAAGTTATGACTCTTTTAGAAGTTTACATCTGGAGAAGAAATTTTCAAAAGTTGCCCGCTACTTTACCTGTCCCACGTCGATATCAGGGCTGATGCTGACGCTCACATCCTCAATCAAGTCCACGCGCGTGACGGCGTGCTGTCCCGTTAACACGTCGAGTTCCACCTCGCACGCGCACGCGCCGTGGATGCTATAGCCGGCTCGTCACGTACAAATGACGCTTGGAGGTTCAACGGAGATGACTTTTACAAGAGTTCTCTTCTACATTACCGGTCCAACATCAATGTCACGCGCACGCGCCATGGATGCCATAGCAGGCTTGTCATGTATGACGCTGGGTGTACACACCCGATGAGACCATTGTCAAGAGTTGTCCTCCACTTTACCTGTGCCACATCGATATCGGAACACGTCGAGTTCCACCTCGCACGCGCACGCGTCATAGTTGCTAGCTATAGCGGGCTCGTCTCTTCAAGTTATGACTCTTTTAGAAGTTTACATCAATTATAATACAGAAATTTTCAAAAGTTTCCCGCTACTTTACCTGTCCCACGTCGATATCAGGGCTGATGCTGACGCCCACATCTTCTATCAAGTCCACGCGCGTGACGGCGTGCTGTCCTGTTAACACGTCGAGTTCCACCTCGCACGCGCACGCGCCGTGTATGTTGTAACCGGCCGGCGAGTCCAGAGGGCCCGTCATGTATGATGTTTGGAGGTTCACTCCTGGGGATACCAGTTTTATTTGAAGGTTGGCTAAACGGCATTTGATGTCACTTTAAAAGACTGAATTGAATATTATTTAGAAGTGGGCAGTGGTGAGGTAAGTAAATGCGCTAGATTGCTTGCATTTGGTGTAGCTTTGCTCGAAAAATAAGACATTAAAAAAACCTTTTTAATTTTTTAAAATAATTTTTTAGACTAACAAACTGCAAACCAACGTTTGTTCTTTGCCGGGGAAATTACACCATGAAAACTTCTGTAGTACGTAATAAATAGAAGAGCATAAGTATTTTGAAGGATTGCTCTAATGTAAGATGTTCTCAAAAGCTTACCTTTTTCAAATGCCTTCTGCACTAGCTGCTCCCACGACGGGTCATTCATTTCATTCTTCACCGTCTCCAATCTCTTCAAGAGTTCCGTACACGACTTCACTGTGGCGTATGCGACACAGTCGCTTGTTATGCTGCCGTTACTGGCCATCGCATTGGGCGACGACAGACTGTCACTGCCGAAAACTGACACTTTTTCCAACGGTACCTTCAGAGTATACGCACACACTTGAGCCACTTTCGTATTGATACCCTGACCCATCTCAATACCACCGTGGGTTATAGCTACTGTTCCATCACCATGGTATACTGAAACTGTCACTGGGAAGTTCCAAGAGTAATCTATTGGGAACGACATTATACACAGCTTGATGCCGCGTTTCTTCCAAGCATTCTCGGCATTAAAGGTCGCAATTTGAGCTTTACGCTCGTTGTAATTGGAGTCGTTTTTGAGCGTGTCTATCATGTCTTTGATGGCGATGTGTTCAGGAGTGATGTTCTTGATGCGAACTTCGATTGGATCCTTTTTGGTGACGTGAGCGATTCGCTCCATTAGGTGTTCGACGATAGCAGTGGCTTCGTTGGTTCCTAAAAGAAAAAATAAATCATTTCATACAACCAAAACTCTGAGCATCTGTGACATGACGTCATCGAATTCATTGTGTCCTTTGTTGTATAGAATGTTAGGAGATATTGTGATAGACTGGATAGGAGACCAAGTGGTGGTGCATTATAAGCATGCAACATTGAGTCACGTACACCAAAAGCCCTGCACCAATGTTTGCCAGCAGTATATTGAGTACGCTATACCTCTGAGGAGCTCTGGTACATAAGAGCCATGACGTCGCGTCACAGTAACTGTACCCTCTACTTCAAAGGCGTAAAAACTTGTGAACAAGAAATACGTATCAGGCGCCCTGCACCAAATGTTTCCAGCCATATCCGTGAGTACACTATACCCTTTAATAGTCCAGGTGGAGCTATGATGTCACTGTACTCTCTGTAGTATAGAGGCTGATGGTTTACTTTTAGTAAAATTACAATGAGTCACGTACCAGGCGCCCTGCACCAAGTGTTGCCAGCCGTATCCGTGAGCACGCTGTATCCTTTAACTGTCCAGGTGGAGCTCTGGTACATTAGAGCCATGACGTCACTGATAGCGCTGCCGGCTGTATCGTTGAAGTTGAACCCGCAGTCCATATAGTAAGTTAGGTTTAGGTATT